AACGCACCATTGAATCTAATGCTCACCTCCATTTTTAAACCCGAAACCAAAAAGAAAATAAAAATAAAAATTGCTGACTAAAAGCAAAAGGTGCACTCTTTGTAACATGGCCATTACAGTTGCTGCCTGGTTTGAATTCTCTCTTTGAAAACAAAAAGTAAATAAGTGTAAATACTGATATGATAAGTGAATTTTTAAAAAAATATACTTCCAAATTCTCATAGCCACAAGTTTTTTGTAAATTATTTGTTGTTGACTCTGCCTACTTCCAAGTATAGAGTTGGACAAAAGGATGGTGGATTGCAATTACTAGTTGTGAAGATAGGTTATGGTGACTTGTATTGTTGAAAACCGCAATCTGAGATCAACCGGAGGATCACCCTTTGCTCTCTCTTGCTCTAGTATAAGAATTCCTTTTAAAAAAGGTTTTTAAAAAGACACAACATTCAAAATTCCCCTCCCCACCCTTATAGTCCCAACCTTTGAAAATGCAGGAAAAAAAAGATGTAAAAGACTTAAAGAACACGGTTGACTTCTCCCCTCTCAGGCCAAAGCATCTATCAAGATGTTATAATGTACTTCTATTCTGTCTGATCAACGTCTGCGAAATACAAACAGACCTACTCACAAGTGATATTAATACAAACCAATTTAAACGTTTTACTAAAATTCAATTCTTATAATTTCAGTTTTTATTTTCTATTTTAGTTTTTCCCAATTTTTCCTTTTTATCTAGATTGATTTGATCTTACTGTATCTCAACAATTTTACCCCAGTATAATATCTTGTAAGGAGCCCCCGGTGGTGCAGCAGGTTAAACCGCTGAGCTGCTGAACCTGCTGAACTTGTTGACTGAAAGTTTGACAGTTTGAATCTGGGGAATGGGATGAGCTCCCGCTGTTAGCCTCAGCTTCTGCCAACCTAGCAGTTCAAAAACATGCAAATATGAGTAGATCAATAGGTACTGCTCTGGCAGGAAGGTAACAGCGCTCCATGCAGTCATGCCAGCCAGATGACCTTGAAGGTGTCTACGGACAGTGCTGGCTCTTCGGCTTAGAAATGGAGATGAGCACTACCCCCCAGAGTCAGACATGACTAGACTTAATGTCAAGGGTAAATCTTTACCTTTATTTTTTATATAATATTTTGTTATATTTTCCCTTTCATATTAAATATTCTTAATTCATATTAAATTTAAATTTCCTCCAAAGATTCTATTATTTATCCATGTTTCTTCCAGTATTTTTCATATTCAACAGATTATCCTTCATATCCACTGATAATCTTAATACTAACAAGTTGAACATTTTAAATGTAATTCAAGAATTGTAATTTCAACTTTGAATATTTTATCTCTATGACCCCCCCCCCCCAAATTATCCTTTTAATCAGAACTGATCACACTATATTGCACAAACTTTTTAAGATAGTAGATCCTGTTTTTCCCCCCAAATGTTACAATCGAAGTATTTAGTTTTTAGTAACTTGTATCTGCTTATCATAGTTCTAATATTGGCTTCTATGGGTGCCTTGAGCAACAAGCTGTTTTTTAAAAAGCAGTTTTCAATCTTTATTCACTTATCCAAAGAATATAATCTTAATCATTGGACAGTCCTGCTTTCAGTAACTCTCACTGTTTTTTTAAGCAGCAATCTAAATACAAGGTGATCAACAAGGACCAATGGTGTAATGTTCTGGAGTTCAGCAGAACCATTAATCTTGACCTCAGCAATTATGATGAAGATGGCGCATGTATGTAGCTGCAGGGAAAAAACACAATAATTCAGTACTATACTATGTTCCAAATTTTTATTTAAATGTATTTTTTTTAAGATAACACTTTTCTCTCTTTCAGGGCCAGTGTTGTTGGATGAATTTGTGGAGTGGTACAAAGAGAAACAAATGACATAGGAATTTTAACTATGCACAGCCGCTCAAGAGTCTTTGTTACTACAGTTATGTTGACCATTAGCCATAAACTGCTATTTGTATAAAAGCGCATGCTGCTTTTCCTGCACTGTATCCCATTTTCAGGGACCTTTTGGTGTTTTGCTGTTTAACAGGCCAGCTCTGCTTGCTGTGTAGCATTGTTCTCTTTGAAGGCTGCTTTGCATTTTGTATCTACACTACAGATGGTGAACTTACCAGCATCCTCACTGTGATTAATGTGTATATTGCTGTCTAAACTTTGTATATGTGTATAAAAAAAGCTTCACCTAGGAATTATTTCAGCAGAAATGTATTGTAAAAATAATTTTGTGGCATATTTCTAGTTGCAGTCAGTAACCATGTAATAACTTAATTTTTGATTTTCACAATGGTCTCAGACATAGCATTTCAGGAAGTAATTGTTGGGATGGTGACCATGTAGCGCTATTGCCAGTTAGCAATAGCATTTAAGATGCCAGTTTTTGAGAAGAGATCTTTCATTTTGATTTCTTCATATGCAGATGCCCAATGTCAGTTTTGTTTAGTAGGCGAGTCTTGGCTGTTTTTTTTTAAACTGAAAACTCATTAAAATTGTTACAGCTTCTTGAACAGAATTGTACATGCTACGGTGACTTCCATTTGATGAAAATGCTGACTTCCCAATACTCTGTAGTTTCCAAATAGGTACAGGCAATCAAATCAAAACCCCTTAAACAGGGTTTTAGACATGTAATTTGGCATATTCCTTTATTTCGTTTTTGTTTTGGTTGATGAAGGCAACCCCTTGTAAAATTAAAAAAGGCTTATGAACAGATTTTCTGGTATTGAATCTCTTTCTAAATTATACCCTGGGGCTTTACAACATGTGAATCCAAATAATGCTACTGGCTTCTTATACACCAGGGATTGGATTTCCTTGTAGATGCCTGTTGCAGGCAATAGGCGAAGTAATCACCAGCATTGTCACTCAAGTGGGACCACTTTTCTTATCTGTTTGCACAGGAAAGTTTAAGCCATTGCTACCTTGGTGATAGTTGGTACAAGACATATGTCTCATTGTATTGTCTTTGCCTCGGCCTTCTCTATATAAATTTCAATAATGATTTAGACTAAAGTTTGCTAATTCAATAGCAAATGTCATGGAAATACCTCCAAAATGCAGAGGTGTATGTTTAGTGGACAATGTCTTAGCTGTAGTGTTTGCAATAAAAACATTGACAGGCCTTTTTGTTCTTGCAGAAGACTAAAAATTGCTTAAACCTTAGTTGTAATATCCCACTGCTCAACAGAAATAAGTAATCAACACACACCCTTTCTACATTTTGAGTTACTGAAGTGACTAGCAGAACATGTATAGTGTCAGTCTCTTTAGTATTGAAAACTTCTAAACAATCAAAGTTTCATAAAAGAGGGGACTGGGCGCTCAGGATGCCCATGTGCAATGTAATTCTACATTGAAAAGAGAAGAGGGCTGCGGACGCCTGAATATATGTCCTCTCACCTTCAGAAGTCTTTGGCAGGATATTTATGCAGGCTTGTGCCAGAGTAGTGAGAATGAAAGATTGTGACTAGAGCCCTATTAATGTACTATGTTCTCATAGAAAGTGCTGATAGGAAGAATGAAAAGCCACAAGAATGGTGATTGTGAAGGCAGTGGAGAAGTTAGGTGCTAGGAGTCAATAGATTTTGTCTTCCTTCTCTTGCCCTTGCCATGTTCTCTTTTTTGGGGGGGTGGGTGGGGTGGGGTGGTAGGGAGAATGAACCCACTAATAAAGTTTTCTAGCTGGATTCTGCTCAGATGCTCATAGCTCGCTCCATCCAAGCTGTGATAGTTATAGCTGAGCTCAAATTTCATTAACAATCTGCAGAAAATAATCTCTGGATATTTTATGGATAAAGAATTGTGTCTTTTTCATACAATTCTATCCTGCCTATTCAGCTTGTTATGTGCAAACAAATAAAAATAATAGGTGGTAGTTGCGCGTTCTATAAAATGTAACATTGCCTACAGGTATGTGATATTTCCACAAGGCAGTTTGCCGTATCAAATCATTTATTTCTTTCAAGGTCTGCTACATTAATTTCAATATGCGTAGCCATAAATGAGAATTTGTGAAAGTCCAAACGGTGGAAAATACAGGATTTAATACAAGTTATCTTGCTGAGAAGTTTAAAAGTTTCCAAAGCAGTCAGGACTTTGTGAGATCTAATCTAAAAGTGTAAACAAATAAGATCAACAAAATTGTGACTTGCTAGCTAGTTTTGGGGGCTAATTTTCAACCTATTTGGGTGTGAATACTACAGATATTTGAACACTACAGTAATCAAATATCTCATAAAATGTGAAATAAATAGACAGTAAAATTCTTCTGTCTTTTAAAATTGAAGCAAAAATTGAGAACTAGTTGAATTCTGGTCTTAGATATTACAGGTAAATCATGTATGGGCATCACTTAAAATTGTTAAGAGGTTGTAAGTTGTGGTAAAAGTCGTCACCTAGAATTCAAGGCGCGTCTACAAAGTTCTGTCTCTTCCAACGTCTCAGAACAAATCTTTACCTTTTCATGAAATGTTTTATAGTGTTCTGTCATACGCAGGATTTTATAGCTGGATCCTCTGGCAGTTCAACAAGAAATGTGTATATTTTGCTACAAATAACCAAGCAGAAAGAACCGGCCCTTGAATTTTGCTGTGAAATACAGGCTTTCTAACACAAGTGCATTTTGGGATTCAGAAATGTATCAGGATACAAAATTTGTTATTACACACAAGTTTTAGAATAGTAAGATTCCCGTGCTCTAGAATTTTGCCCTTATATTATGACTAGAATATTTACCAGATTTTTACTTTTTTTGTTTGCTCAAAATGTCATGCATCCTAAAGGTGTTGGCATCTCTGCTCAGTTTTTGGTTGAAGGAAAATGTGTTTCATCGGAGCAGATATACTCCTCCTTTTTACATTCAGTATTTTCTGTGTAAATGGCAAATTTCTGACACACCTATTCATGTCTCATTAGAAACGTACCTTTGGATATTCTTTAAATAGTGCTTTTCCAGGTGTTTGTACAATAAATTGTTTAATGCAGAAAAAGTCTCTGCATTTTCTCCAAACGTTGCAGCAAGGTTTGTGTACATTATTTCAATGTAACAGAATGGATAATGTAATTATTTTTCTTCCTGATGATCTAGTGTACAAACTAATTTCTGAGTGGTAAACTGGTCTTTGGGGAAATCGGAGTCTAGATACTGTCAGATAACTTCTTTTATAATACCAAAGATAGATGGATGTATTTTACTGGCATGCTTGACTTTCAGAATCAAAAACTGGATTCTTGGGCAATACAGTACCACCTATCAGTAGGACTTACTTTCTTGCCAAATACATTGAAATGTAATGCAGAAGACCTGGTCATCTTAATTTGGTGTTGATTTCTGTAATGTCAGTCAGTTCTTTTTGTCAGTAAGGGCACCAAAACTATCCAATCTATATATATAAAAACAGACAATAGGAGGAATGCACCCTAAAATGTGAATAAATCTTTTTGATTCATGCACACCAGTTTCTCAAGGAGAGCCCTTGCAAGATTCCTTTTGCTGCATAGCCAACTTATAATTTTAAGAAACTGTGTATCTGCAGTTAATTTTCTCCCTACTTTTGGACCACTTGTCATGTTTCCATGGTCCCCCTTTAGAAGTAATGGAATATAATAGAACCTGTTCCCAGTCAAGAATATAGCGGTGCTTAAATCCTCAGTAGCCATGTTGTAAAGATTTGTTTTGTGCCTGGACTAATTAAAACTGCTAAATACTTCTTGGAAGCCTTAGACTCTGTTCTTCCATACAGTTGTGTAAATGCAAAGAACCACCAAATTACACTGGCATTCAATAATTTGAGACAAAAGTATGTTTTTCAGAATTGATTATGTGACACACTCTCTAGCAGAAAGAGCAGTTCATTGACATCTACTGCTTTTGTCTTAGGGGTTCCCATATTGCAAACCTTTTAAAGTCCTGTGGCTCAAATGACTGAAGTACTGTTAATTCCACCTTATTTGCGTTGGTGCACTGCAGTTTTGTGTAAAACCGGTATTCCATAAATAAAATATTTGTGTTTTTTTTGTTTCAGAAATTCTGTGTATGGGTCTCTTCTGTCCGTGTGCATAAACACAGTATAACTTTGTGCAGGCACGTGTCAGTTAGGATCAATGGTAGAACAGCTTGCAACTCAGCGAGTACTATAGTCTAGATCTTTTAGTTGAGCATTTGCATTGAGATTTATGAGAAAATTAATCCTTCATGGCTTTGAGAGATGTCCTGTCCAAGATTTAGAATTGTGATTGCCTCCTCCTTCACTATGATTTGCACATAGGGAGGCAGCATGAAGGTTATCAGACAGAAAAAGAAAGGGTAGAAACAACCAGCATGATGTAATGGTTTAAGACTACAGAGACACTCGCTGGAACACCTCAGCAAGCGAGAGTCCAAAAGTGGCAAGCTCAAACCCAGAACCTCAATCAATGGCTGATACCAAATTAGAGAGTCTCTCCTGGGCACGCAGAAAACTGGATGACTTGGAAGGCGCTGAACAGACTCTGCACTGGGACCATGAGATGCAGAGCCAACCTTAAGAAATGGGGCTACATAGTGGAATCCACGATATGCGAGTGTGGAAAAGAGCAAACTACAGACCACTTGCTGCAATGCAACCTGAGCCTTGCTACATGCACAATAGAGGACCTTCTTGCAGCAACACCGGAGGCACTCCAGGTGGCCAGCTACTGGTCAAAGGACATTTAATAGAATACAAATTTTGTGTTTTGTTTGTTTGTTTGTCTGTATTTTAATGCAATACAACTGGTTTGGTTCGCTCCTGACACGATAAATAATACTTTTGAGAGCAGGGTTTGATTCTGTGGAAACCAAATAAGTGACTTTGGCTGAGTCATGCACACTCAGCCTGAAAAACCCTCATGACAGTTATAATAAGCTGGATAAGACTTGAAGGCACACAAGAACGATAAAACTAGGGGGAAATAGAAAATATGACGGATGTAGAAGTAGAAAAAGAGCTGTGGAAGGAATACAGGCAAAAGAGTGTGTAAGAATGCAAAAGAAAAATGGGGAGGTAGAACAGGAAAACTGGGAAAATATGAGGGTGGAATGAAAAGTAATGCCTCCACCTTCGTTACTTGGGTTTGGATGGGAATATTTTAATAAGTCAAATGCAGAAATAATCCTTAGAATGTGCTCTTTAACTATCACTATTCACTTTTCACATAATCACCAAACAATTGGATTCATTTCTGCTAATGGTGAACAAATTTTCTGAAGCCATCATGGAAGAAGTCAACACTTTGTTTCCGCAACCCATCGTGCATAGATCTTCCGATAGCAAAGCAAAGCAATAATGTGACCCACACGTTCTTATGAAATGCCGATTATGCTTGAAATTTCTCTGAGTGATACATGATCATCCTGAATCAATCTGTCAATCTTTTGCTTATGAAACTCAGTGGTTGCTGTCACAGGACGCCCAACTCTTTGTCATGCAAGTCAGATGTTCCCACCTCAACATCTTTAAACTTACTCGCCCAACGACACACAGTACTCACATCAACACAATCATAAACAGCTTGCATTCTCTGATGAATCTCCTTTGGGTTGACAACACCTTCTGCTGTCAAAAATTCAATGACTGCACGTTGCTTAAGTCGCATTGACTGACCGTCTGCACAGGGTTCCATACTTCACACTAACAACACAACCATTCAATGGTAAGGCTTCCCACCAAAATGGAACTGTAGAGAAGAGTCTACTGAACAAGCCAGTACCTTCTGCAATACCAGTACTGCCATCTGTTGAGGAGTTAAGAAGGTGGAGGCATTACTTTTCATTCAACCCTCGTACACTCTCCTTCAACCAGCTGGAGCAACAAACCACTCCACCAATATGATGCTCTTCCATGAAACGTCCTTGATATGGATTGATACTCCATCCATTTTACACTTGGATAGGAGCCCTACCTCATTCAAAGAATGAAGAAACCTCACTACCTCTGAGGATGCTTGCCATAGATGCAGGCGAAACGTTAGGAGAGAATGCCACTAGACCATGGCCATACAGCCTGAAAAAACCTACAACAACCCAATGAAGAAATTACCCCAAAAAGGAGAGGAAGGAACTACCACCTGCTGTCTTAGAGGTAAGGAGGCATCCACCCTTCTCAGCCAAGTTTACCCCATCCATACTGACTGAAAAGTAAATTACCCAGTTCACTTAAGTAGGAGGAAATAGCTACCTTACCCCCAAATGGGTGGAAACCTATCTCAGACTCCTCAAGGCTAGGATTTCTCCTTTACTTATTTTTGACAGGGTATTCCAAAGCATTCAAGTCAATACAGAAGTCACCCATTCACTTTCGACTAGATAGAATCAGCCTTGTGAATGCCCTGCCAAAGGCCCAGACCAAGCAGATGACAGTGGATTGCGCCCTCAAGCATCTAGGTCAGAAACTAGAACTCATAATGCTGCTTGCATAGGCTCAATAATTTTCTCTCTCAGCAAGAGGGTTCTGGGGCAGGAGAGAACATGGCTTATATTATATCTGAAATATTTCACGTACAATCACTGCACCATCTAACTTGTATAAGATTCAACATTTTTTTTAAAAAAGCACACAGATTGGTTCATATCATTTATTTTTAAGGAAATGCTTATCAGATCACTTCCCTTTGGTACCTGTTAATAAAACTGCTTCATAAAACAGAGGTACATAGTTCATATATGGCACATCAGACTTAAAAGGCATAAATGCATTGTAAAAGTCTCATCTAGCCTTCACTCCACACATACAAAGCAGCACAGATGGTTAAAGTCATGTTTCATTTTGTATAAAGGAACTCATTAGTAACAAATGTGCAAAATAATAACAATAACAAACAGCCACAGCACCATAGTGGAAAATACGAGTATATCGGCAAGTAATGTTTTGGAGTATTAAACTAAAACCCATCTACATTTTAATTGCTAGTTTTTTTTATTTGCCTTTAGAAACTTTCTAGTAAGGTTTGCAAAATTTATAATTTTTTACTTAAGTGTGTGAAGGAGCTGCGGTGGTGCAATGGGATAAACACTTGTACTGGCTGAACTGCTGACCTGAAGGTCGGCAGTTCGAATCTGAGATGGGGTTAGCTCCCATCTGTCAGCTCCAGCTTCCCATGCAGGGAAGACTCCCATAGGATGGTGAAAGATCTGGGCGTCCCCTGGGCAACGTTCCTGCAGATGGCCAATTCTCTCACACCGGAAGCGACTTGCAGTTTTGGCCATTTACACATGATTTTATTATAGATTCCCACCCCCCTCTGCAATCATATGCCCTGCAATCTATAACATCTGAATGTGATGCTGCAACCTCTAAGTAAAGAAAGGAAGTACAGTCATCATGGAGGACAGAAGCCCACGGTGGCACAGTGGGTTAAACCCCTGTGCTGGCAGGACTGAAGACCGACAGGTCGTAGGTTCGAATCTGGGGAGAGCGTGGATGAGCTCCCTCTATCAGCTCCAGCTCCTCATGCGGGGACGTGAGAGAAGACTCCCACAAGGATGATAAAACAACAAAACATCCAGGTGTCCCTTGGGCAACGTTCTTGCAGATGACCAATTCTCTCACACCAGAAGCGACTTGCAGTTTCTCAAGTTGCTTCTGACACGACAAAAAAGAATCATGGAGGACTTGGGTCAAATACAACGTAGCAATTTAGCATACAAATTAGCCTATAAATTTTGATGGGAGCTTTGTTTTTTACCTCTACTATGGTGCTGGGGTAGGTAAGGGTTTCTCGATTCAATTATATTAATGTATTTAATACAAATATATCACACATTTCAAGTATTCGAAACCACACAACATTACCTTAGTCCTTACAACTGTCCTCTAAGGTAAGTCAGCAATATTATCCTCACACACAGAGTTAATACATAAATGGCACATTACAGATAGGGTTTATGTCCAACAGAAAGCTAGCAGAAAACCCTTGCCTCTGTTAGTACCTGACGACCAGTAGTAGAACAAGTACTTAACAGCACCTGATAAAACGGAGTTACATGTTATGTAAAACATTGTTCTAGCTAAATCAAAACATTGTTTATACTCTTATAAGAAGGAAGACAATTTCTTCAACTCTTGCAATAACAGAATGATATTTCTGGATAAACCCACAAATTAATAATAATTTAATGTTCAAAGATAACAAAAAAAACCCTGATATTAAGCCTTTAATTTTAATTTGTTAAAATTAAATTAAATATGGATAGAAGCTCTCATAATTAGCTTGCAGTTGAATACTGTATTTCAGCATGATTATTATAAGCAAATGCACCCAATACTAAAATGCAGTCCTAAATTGCTCATATAGTGTATAGTTTTGCATGCATTGTGAAATGAGTGGTTATGGGACAAAGAATTAACTTTTACTAGCTGATGACAGTAGAGGTATAAAATATGCTAAGCTTACCACACAATCTGGCTTTTGCTATCATTTATAGCATCTTACAGATTGTCTTTTTCTTTCACATACAATGTAATAGGAGGCTTGAAAAATTAGGATTCTTAGAATTTAACCTTCCACTTATCCTGCAAAATACTTCTGCAGGATTTATCTAAATTAACAGGTGATAAAGCTCTTGCTTGAAGACATTTTTAGCGCCCACAGGTTGTTTTGGCAAGTTTTCCTCCCTCACAAATACACTTTTACTGTTCCTATCTCACCCAGGGTTTTAACATTTTATCTCGTGCATTTGGCCCGACCTTTGTGTTTGACTTTTATTATGTTATCTTGCATTGTTTATTTTATTTTGTTATTTTATGTATTTTGTTGTGGTGTAATTTTCTGTTGTTTTGTGTCTAATTATGCTGTATTACTTTTGGGCTTGGCCTCATGTTAGTCACCCCGAGTCTCCTTTGGGGAGATGGTGGTGGATTATAAATAAAGATGATGATGATGATGATGATTATTATTATTATTATTATTATTTTCTTTAGCAACAGTGCTGCCAAACTTTCAATGTACACAAGAAGAATTTGGGGTTTTGGTGATAGGAAAACCCTGAATATTAATTATAGTTTTCTGTTAGCATATGTGGCATCTCAAAACACATTTCTTGACAGAAAAATAAATTGTGTATTACATAAAGTATTCAAATACAAGCCAGAACCTATGAAAAGAACTGGAAAAAAAACATTACTATAAAGCAATGATTCTCAATGTTTGGTCTTCCAGAAGATTTGAATTTCATCTAAAAAAAAATCCTAGTTAAGTTACCAATGCTGAGCAATTCTGGAAGTTGGAGTCCCAAACATGTGGAGGGCAAAAGGTTGGGAACTATGTAGCGTTGAACCCCTGTGAACCATCGTTCGACCCCCAAAGGAGTCGTGACCCACAGGTTGAGAAACGCCACTCTAGTTATTTGAAAGTCTATTTATTTAGATGTTTTTGGCTGAATCCTTTATTTTTTGTAATCATGAAGTGTAGCACAAGTTACCATTCTCTTCTTTTGTGCATGTTACATGTATACTTCAGTGCAAAGTTGCAAAAGTCAACTAAATCTATTAGGACTGAACTTCAGGGCAAATAAGGCTCCATTTTATCTACAAAGGGGACATGAGAGAAGCCTCCCACAAGGATGATAAAAAATCCAAACATCCAGGAGTCCCCTGGGCAACGTCCTTGCAGATGGCCAATTCTCTCACACCAGAAGCGACTTGCAGTTTCTCAAGTCGCTCCTGACACGACAAATAAATCTACAAAGGTTCTGGCAAAACGTTTGTGAAAAGCATAACTTTGCAAAGTAAGGGTATCATAAAGATAAATATGCATTCTGCGGTGTTACATCCGGCTTGACAACTTGCTTTGGAAACCTCAAATCAAGAATATCCTAAAGCACTTCTGGAGTGAAATTTTTGCCTAACTTACATGTGGAACTCATGGCTTATTTTAAACATGATTGATTATATCAATTTAATACTGTTAGACATAATACCCTGTATAAAAAGTGCTTCATGTTAGCTGCTGTTAAAAAACAAACAAACCCAATAACCTTCAAAACAGGAAACTGTTTTAAATAGAAATGACTCCTCTTCCCACTGTACATAGCTTTGCTATTAATATATATTGCCGCAGGGGTTAACAGAGGTTTGACAACCCATGTTGCGGGTCTTAACTTGAACACGGAATAGAGTCCCATCAGCACACATGCAAAGCTTGTAACGCTCCCAGTCACCGTTGCTAAATTGGTCTTTGGGTGAAAAAGTTGGCAGACGAGAAGGACTGACCATCACGCTCCCATTGAGGACTATGCTCTTGTCCTATAAAAGAAACATTTATAGACATTAACACATTTTTTTTTCTATGTGAAGAAGCACGTACTTACTTCCCCACCTTTGAGAAAAATGGCCCATACAAAGCTTTCTTTTTCAGCATTAGGCAAATAGTTCATTTAGTCACTATGTGTAACTTGATTTTTGTTCCTGGGTTATAAATGTCATTTTCTAATTGGTTCTATCATAAAAACATAGAAAAGGTTTATTAAACAACAAAACACTTTGTTGTTGTGGGATATCCTGCAGCACATTTTGCTATAGTTTTTCAATGAATATCTTATCAAGTCTCAACAAATTCAACATAGTTTGTGGCAACCACAAAAGCAAAGTTTCTGGAGTAAAACTACTTTCAAAGAAAGTACCACAAAATTAAACAGGAAGAACACTATCAAATTAGGAACAGTTTTCCCCCCTCGAATTTTGTTACATAGTGATATCTACTCTGTCAGCAGCTCAAGTTCACGAATTACATTTCACCGATAACTCCCTGTTGAGAGCAGGGTAAAAATGTTAAAAGCAACAAAATTTTGTTCTATTTTTTCAGAACAAATAAGCTGCTTTGATTTAGCTTTGACATATAAAGATTCTAATTTACATTTTTCTTTGACAAATTGTGCTTTTCTGAAATGCTTGGGACCAGAAGTATTTCGGATTTTAGAATATTTTCATATACATTATGAGGATCAAGGCAGAGACATCTCCAGCTCATCCCCTGTTTGGGTATCAGCCAGCACGTCAACGACTTAAATCCAGACATAGTTTTCTAAGATCTACAGAGACACTCGCTGGAACACCTCAGCAAGCGAGAGTCCAAAAATGGCAGGCTCAAACCAGAACCTCAATCAATGGCTGATACCAAATGAGAGACTCCCCCTGGGCACACAGAAGACTGGGCGACTTGGAAGGCGCTGAACAGACTGTGCTCTGGCACCACGAGATGCAGAGCCAACCTTAAGAAATGGGGCTACAAAGTGGAATCCATGACATGAGAGTGTGGAGAAGAGCAAACCACTGACCACCTGCTGCAATGCAACCTGAGCCCTGCCACATGCACAATGGAGGACCTTCTTGCGCAACACCAGAGGCACTCCAAGTGGCCAGATACTGGTCAAAGGACATTTAATCAATGACCAAGCTTGCAAACTTTGTGTTTTGTTTGTTTGTTTGTTTGTTCAGTTGGTTGTTAAAAAATGCAACACAACTGTTTGGTCTGCTCCTGACAGATAGATAGATAGATAGATAGATAGATAGATAGATAAATAAATAAATAAATGAGATATCTTGGAAATGAGAACCAAGCTAAGCATAACATTTGATTATTTATTTCATACACCTTATACACACAGCTTTATGGTAATTTTAGACATCATATTTTTAATAATTTTGTGCATGAGATAAAGCTTCTGCACACTGAACTATCTGAAAGCAAAGTTGTCGTTCACTCTCTCAACTACCTATATATATAATTTTGTATTTAGGAGTATTTTGGATTTCATTTTTAGATATAAAATAATCAAAACGTATAATGTATGAGAGTGACTCAATTTTGTGCTTTTCTTTTAAGATGTAACTAGCTCAGGCATGGGCAAACTAAGGCCTGGGGGCTGGATGCGGCCTCCTGGGCACTTACCTCAGGCCCCTGACATTTTTCTTGTTCTCTTGGCAAAAGGGCATGGTGGCCCTCCTCATCCTTATGCCAAAAAGACGAGGAAGGCACACAGCAGCTTTCAATCACAACGTGTCTCTCTCTCCTCCTGGCATAAAGACAGTGCGAGCAGCCCCATCCTTATCCTAGGACAGTAGCAAAATGACAGTTATGAAGTAGCAATGTAAAATAATTTTATGTTTGGGGGTCACCACAACATGGTGAACTGTATTAAGGGGTCAAGGCATTAGGAAGGTTGAGAAACGATGGTGTAGATGAACCTTTAGTCTTTCAGATTCACAGATGTATAAATGAATTGACTAAAATGTGTCTAATTCACACCCATTTCTTTAATCAAATTGCACTCCTATATATAACAAGTATTACTTACTGCTTTTAGTTCCATATCACCCCCCGTAAGAAACTCGATGGTTTTGCCCATGATGAAAACACCCTCGTTTCCACGCACAATAGCACGTCCATCCACATGTATCTTTAGATCGCTGGTGGCATTGCTGGTAATCTGAGAATAAAGAGCACAACTGTATAAAAACAAAACAGCCTGCTGCCAAATCTGCCTTGTTCTTAAACAACCCTGCTCAACTTTTCAATTAAAACAGACAACAGTTGTTAAAAATGTTAATGTGACTGAGGTTGCAGTCCTTGGGCTGAATCCTAGTGGGAATCCAAACTAGATTTACTTACATATGAGTTGATTCACCAATGAACAATTGATTCAATGGATCTGCTCCAGTTAGGACAAACTGAAGTATTTAGACGAAAAAGATACATACTATGAGAAACTACTGGATTTATTTTTAAACCAGAATGGTTGAGTTGTTTGGACACTGGTCTACAAATCTGCAGAAAAGGACATAAATCCCCATAGTAAAGGTAAAGGTTTTCCCCTGACATTAAGTTGACTTGTGTCCAACTCTGGGGGTTGCTGCTCATCTCAATTTCTAAGCCAAAGAGCTGGTGTTGTCCGTAGACGTCTCCAAGGTCATGTGGCCGGCTTGACTGCATGGAATGCCATTACCTTCCTGCTGGAGCGGTACCTATTGATCTACTCACATTTGCATGTTTTTGAACTGCTAGGTTGGCAGAAGCTGGGGCTAACAGCGGGAGCTCACGACGCTCCCTGGATTCGAACCTGCGACCTTTTGGTAAGCAAGCCCAGCAGCTCAGCAGTTTAACCCATTGCGCCACTGGGGCTCACACCCTATTATACAGCCACGGAAACCCACTGGGTGACCTTGGTAAGTTACAATCTCTCAGAAGAGAGGAATGGCAATCCCGTCTTCTGAATAAATCTTTCCAAGAAAATCTCATGATTAGGATTGCCATGAGTTGGAAATGACTTGACAGCACACAACAACAAAACTGTAGTTTAAAATGCTTTCTTGCATCTTCTCAGTTATTTTGTTACCTAATTTCCTCTCCCCTAGGAATTCCTTCAGCACAACATAATTTCAGCATTCAGATATTTAGCATTCTCAACCAGAGAGCTCCAGTGCCTTCTGAAACTACAAACCACTAGATTCCATAAGAAGTTTCCATAGCAATTAAAGCATGTAAACAGACAAAAATAGTTCTTACCCTCTCAGTAGATGCCTTTTGGACATTGAGGGTTTTCACTCCAGTCGGCAAGCGAAACTCGTGTGTATTATAGTCGGTGCTGAACAAAAGATCCTGACTCCGTGGATCGAAAAATTCCATACCAATATCACTGGTAATTTTAGTTGTATTCTTCTCAATGCTGAGTTTTGTGTCCCCTTGCTGAAACACAACCTTCAAAGATAAATTAGAAAAAGAGTGCTAGATGCATCAGAAAACCTTTTAATATGTTTGGACAGTGTGCATGTTTCAATACCATACTGCAGTCAACATGAAAATTATAATTTTTAATTTGTAACCTTTATAAGTAAACTCAAAATTGCACCACGCCAGCCCTCCCATTGACTGAGAGGCTAGCCAATCACAACGGAGGAGGGCTTTCGGCGAGAGGATTCACCATCTGCTTCCAAAAGGAAGAGAAGGACAGGCGGAACGATCTTTAGCCTTCTCTGCCAAAGGGGGTTCCTAAGATCATTGGAAATATATGTTTTCCAATGGACTTAGGAAACCCCTATGAAATGATCATGGAGTCGTGACCCCCCAGATTGAGAAACGTTGCTCTGTTACATAGTATGTTGGTGAAATCCCTGCTTCTTTAACTGTGTCCCAGCCCTAAATGGGGCTCCTGAGCTGAATGCTGGAGTCACAAAACGAAACAGTAAGCAGTTTCTGAATGGCACCTTGACATTGACAAGAATCTGTTAGCAACAGCTGGCTGGGAGTCAGCTGCATTAGATCACTACTGACCAAAAAGTCATAGATTCGAAGCCAGCCCGGGTCGGAGTGAGCTTTCGACCATTGTATAGCTCGCTGTCGACCTTTGCAGCCCGAAAGGCAGTTGCATCTGTCAAGTAAGAAATTTAGGTACCACTTATACAGGGAGGCTAATTTAACTAATTTACGATGCCATAAAAATCTCCAGCAAGCATGCAAAGAATGAGGAAGTACCCCATCAGTGTCACAAATGGACAGTGAAGTGACAGCTCTCCTGGTGGCCAGAATACCCTCATGAAAAAGTTGGATTGTTAAATGGCCTCTGTGTGTCTGTCTATATATGTTGTGTGTCTATGGCATTGAATATTTGCCATGTAGGAGGAACAAGCTGTAGATTAATCCCAACAAGACAGAGGTCCTCCTGGTCGATCGTAAACCGGATCGGGGTATAGGGTGGCAACCTGTGTTGGACGGGGTTGCACTCCCCCTGAAGTCACAGGTCCGCAGTTTGGGTGTCCTCCGGGACTCATCACTTACGCTTGAGGCTCAGGCGTCGGCTGGGAGGGCCTTCGCACAATTAAGACTCGTGCGCCAACTGCGACCGTACCTCATGAAGGCGGATCTGGCCAGAGTGGTCCATGCCTTAGTCACCTCCAGATTGGATTACTGTAATGCACTCTACGTGGGGCTGCCCTTGAAAATGGTCCAGAAATTTCAATTGGTTCAATGGGCGGTGGCCAGGTTGTTAACTGGTGCTCCTTACAGTGAGTGGTCAACCCTTCTGTTTAAGGAGCTCCACTGGCTGCCGTTCATTTTCCGGTCCCAATTCAAGATGCAGGTTCTTACCTACAAAGCCTTGAACAGTTTGGGACCTACCTGTGTGACCGCATCTCTGTGTACGAACCCACACGATCCCGTCAATCATCTGGAGAGGCCCTGCTCACGCTCCCATCTCTATCGCAGGCACGATTGGTGGGGACGATGGAGAGGGCTTTCTTGGTGGTGGCTCATTTCTAAGCCAAAGAAGCGGTGTTGTCCATAGATACCTCCAAGGTCATGTGGCCGGTATGACTGCATGGAGTGCCGTTAACTTCCCAGCGGAGTGGTACCTATTGATCTACTCACATTTGCATGTTTTCAAACAGCTAGGTTGGCAGAAGCTGGGGCTAACAGCGGAAGCTCATGCCGCTCCCCAGATTCGAACCTGCGACCTTTCGGTCAACAAGGTTATGCAAAAAATTATTGGGTTGAAAAGAGTCATGAGTGGAAAAGGTTTAAGAAGCCCTGGATTAGATGAGTGGATCTCTCACAAAAGTCTATTCCATACCACTTGTGCCACCAGTGAGAGGGTCCTGGCAAACTTTATTGAACATAGGGCACAAGGAGCACAGCAGAAGCTGAACAGAGTTTCTGACAGCAGCTTAGGACCTTGTGAAAAATTAATTATAGACATCTCCCAGAAATTTCCCAGCAGCAGATCTACAGGGTTACATACTTACTGGCTGGTTTTCTCCCACAATCACTAAATCTTCATTACGTCGACCTCCAACTGTGCTTTTATACAACGGATGGATAATTCCCATGTCAGAATCTTGCTTAAATCGCAGTAAGCCACTATCGTGAAACTCCATGCTGTCACAGCCATTGGGTCCAATACGAATCACGGCCCAAATGATGAGCGTGATCTAAAAAAGGTTAAAGTTCATTAACACATTGAAGCAAAACATCTGTCAGAAAGAGAGGCTGTACTTGTATTTTGCTGATACAAAAAACTAAATGCAGCTCACTAATCGTGTTAGTCCAGGCCTCTACGGACTCAATAATGCAATTTTTAAATTAAGGTTGCTAAATTCATTATGACCCCTCCCCATAGCCATAGTTTCTACACTTACTGTGAAAACAGGAAACTACGTTGAATAGTGAACCCTACTGAAATGAACAACTTTCACAGAAAGTTACAATAGGATTGCCCTGGAGGACATAGAAAATTCCTGGAAAGGACATACAGTACTTTGTCAGGCACATGTAGGTTAAACTGTGGGTCTTGGTCCCATGGAAACAGGGGTTGTACTATATGTAGCAACATATTGACATGAAACAGGCGTCAGAGAACACCCCCATGTTGGGTACAAAACATTCAGTAGCCAAAATTAAGGCTGAAGTCCTAACTGAACTAATTGAAATGTATTCATGGACAAACAAGTCAATTATAAAGTTGCAAACAATATATTTTTTGTGTTGTCAAAGGCTTTCATGGCCGGTATCACTGGGTTGCTGTGAGTTTTCCGGGCTGTATGGCCATGTTCCAGAAGCATTCTCTCCTGACTTTTTGCCCACATCTATGGCAGGCATACAATGGAAAAAGAAAAGGAAGGAAAACTGCAATTTCTAGGTGTCCTAGTTATCAGTAAATCCAATCAACAATTGGGCCACACAGTTTACAGAAAGCCTAAACACACAGATAGATACCTACATAAAAACTCCAACCAACACCCAAGTCGAAAAAGAAGCACAATTAAAGCCCTGGTGGACCGTGCAAAAAGAATACGCGAAGCCCACCTCCAAGGTGAATGGAACCACCTAAACTGGGCTCTACATGCCAATGGCTATTCCACCACAGACATCAAAAGAGCTGCAAGACCAAGAACAAGCCATGAGAGTAAAGACAAAGATCCACCCAGAGGAAAAGTGTTCCTGCGATATATCAAGGGAACCACTGACCACATAGGGAAGCTGATGAGGAAACACAACATACAAACTATCTACAGACCCACTAAGAAAATCCAACAAATGCTGCATTCAGTGAAAGACGAGAGGGATGGATCATCTCACCTCTGCAAGAGTCTACCATATACCTTGCAGTTCTGGACAAGTCTAAATAGGGACCACCAAATGCAGCATTGCCCAAACACGAATCAAGGAACATGAAAGGCACTGCAACTCAACCAGAGAAGTCAGCCATAGAAGAACACCTGATGAATCAACCTGGACACAGCATACTATCCGAGAACACAGAAATGCTGGACCACTCTAACAACCACCATGTCAGGCTACACTGAGAAGCCAATGAAATCTACAAGCATGTGGACAATATCAACAGAAAGGAGGAAACCATGAAAATGAACAAAATCTGGCTACCAGTATCAAAAAACTATAAAATTAGGACAGTAAATAAAGAAAAACACTCAGAAGACAGGGAAATTCCAATCAGGAAACAATCAAGGCCAGCTAACACCTCCCAAAAAGGATTCTCCCAGGCAGGAAGCAGACAGGCTTTGAAGCTGCAAGATTATTCAGTGCTAATCAAGCTGGCCAATTGCAACATTCACACTTGCCTCAAGCAGACACGAGTTCTTTCTCCCACCCTAGACATTATTCCACAGATACTGTATATAAACCTCACTTGCCTAGTTTCCAACAGACCCTTCAACCTCTGAGGATGCATGCTGTAGATGCAGGTGAAACATCAGGAGAGAATGCTTCTGGAATATGGCCATACAGCCTGGAAAACTCACAGCAACTTAATACATTTTTCCCATGGCACAACTTTACCTGATGAGAATTAATTAATCAATCTCAAATCATAGTCTAAGTCTTGGTATCTTGGTTTTTAGACCTGTTCCTGGGGTTATTTGGGGTGCTGATTCAGAAGATGGCATTGGATAGACTACTTCAACTCTAGTTTCGGTTTGGGCCCCGCCTATCTTTGCATCTCCCTCTATGAACCAGCGCGAACTTTAATATCTTCTAGGGAGGCCCTCCTCTTGCTCCCACCACCGTCACAAGCACGGTTGGTGGAGATGAAAGAGAGGGCCTTCTCGGTGGTGGCTCCCTGCCTCTGGAACGCCCTTCCAAGAGAAATAAGACAGGCCCCATCCCTCCCCTCCTTTCGTAAGATCTTGAAAACATGGTGGTTTAAACAAGCCTTTGAGAACGACTAGTTCTAGCTCAGACCCAGATATTGTTGAATATGGTCATATATTTTTCTACCACTCATCCAGGTCACTTCCTCCTATTAGGCCCCAGAAATGAACAGCCATAGACTATACCTACTATTGTTGTTGCCTGCTATAGCATTGCACCTAATTTCCCAGGCCCTCTAGAAATTGCCCTAGCCTTGGCACGGCCTTTTTAAATTGCCTTGAACAGGCAGGATTATTTTAAATATATATGTGCTATTGTGATTTTTTATGTTTATACTGCTTTGTTAATTTTATGTTCATGTTGTTTACTCTGTATATATTGATGATGTTACTTGGAAACCGCACTGAGTCCCTCGGGGAGATAAAGCGGTATATAAATAAAGTTTTGTTGTTGTTCTTCTTCCATATGTTTATCATGATTTTCAATGGGCGAGAAGATGAAGACTGGTAGATGGCATATGTTCTGCATCTCAAAAGCCAGAGCCGATAGGGGAAAACTGGTGCCATTTTCTTAACAGAAATCATTCTGTGCTTTCCTCAAATTTTAGGAAAATAAAAACGACCCCCAAAATCACACTTGTAGTCTATTATACTTACAATCAAATTGATGACTGCCAAAATAAAAAGGAGGACAATCACACAAATAGCCAAGTTCCCCTTCCTGCCTCGCAAACCAGTTTTGTGTAGACGATCCTCATCAATCGGAATATATCCAGCCTTGAAGTTACTGTTGTGTTCTTTGTTAATATTCCTCCGCTCCACAGCCTTCTCACGCATTGACTTCTTCACAGGACCATTCGAGCTTTGCTAAAATTTCACAAAAATCATGCATTAAGTTCAGCAAAACTGCATTTCAAAACAAATTAAGATGTTTCTTCATTCAATGTTTGTTTAATTGAAAATTCACATAGTAAATCTCTATTGGATTTTGGAATATTGTTTTTAAAAAGCAACCATGGGCACTACCTTCCCATCACCCCCAAAGTGACGTCAGTTATTACGAGGGTTGAATGAAAAGTAATACCTCCACCTTTGTTACTTGGGTTTGGATGGGAATATTTTAATAAATCAAACACAGTTGTGTCCCTATTTGTAGTCCGTCTGTAAGATATTCTTGCAGCAGCTGAGGATATGATCAATGGTTTCATCAATTCCTTGCACAGTCTGCATTTTGGGTTGTCCGCTGATTTTTCGATTCTGGCCTTAATTGCATTGGTTCTGATGGCTTGCTCCTTGTTGTTGTTGTTCATTCGTTCAGCCGTTTCTGACTCTTTGTGACCTCATGGACCAACCCTCGCCAGAGCTCCCTGTTGGCTGACACCACCCCTAACTCCTTCAAGGTCAATCCTTCAAGGTCAAGGCTTGCTCCTGGGCTGCAAGAATCAGGCCTTCTGTCTCCTTTTTCAGGCTTCCATTTGTGAGCCATAACCAGGTCTTCTCCCTGTCAACTTTTCCTTCAATTTTGTCAAGGAGTTGCCCATGCAATGCTTTGTTGTGCCAGCTGTCAGCTCTGGTTTGGAGTGCAGTTTTCTTGTACTGACTCTTTGTCTGCTGTGTTTTGAGAAGTTTCCGATTATTGACTCGGAATGTGTCCAGAGGAGGGTGACTAAAATGATCAAGGGTCTGGAGAACAAGCCCTATGAGGAGCGGCTTAAGGAGCTGGGCATGTTTAGCTGAAGAAGAAAAGGCTGAGAGGAGCTATGATAGCCGTGCATAAATATGTGAGAGGAAGTCACAGGGAGGAGGGAGCAAGCTTGTTTTCGGCTTCCCTGGAGACTACGATGTGGAACAATGGCTTCAAACAAGAAAGGAGATTCCATCTGAACATTAGGAAGAACTTCCTGACTGTGAGAGCCGTTCAGCAGTGGAACTCTCTGCCCTGGAGCGTGGTGGAGGCTCCTTCTTTGGAATCTTTTAAACAGAGGCTGGATGACCATCTGCCAGAACTTCCTGACTGTGAGTGCCGTTCAGCAGTGGAACTCTCTGCCTTGGAGTGTGGTGGAGGTTCCTTCTTTGGAAGCTTTTAAACAGAGACTGGATGGCTATCTGTCAGAACTTCCTGACTGTGAGAGCCGTTCAGCAGTGGAACTCTCTGCCCTGGAGTGTGGTGGAGGCTCCATCTTTGGAAGCTTTTAAACAGAGGCTGGATGGCCATCTGTCAGGGGTGCTTTGAATGCAATATTCCTGCTTCTTGGCAGGGGGTTGGACTGGATGGCCCAATTCTATGATTCTATGACTTCAATTAAAGCAGGTTCTTGGCTTTCCTTGACATATTTTGCCAGGGCGTGTTTTTCTTCTTCGACTGCTTGATTATGATTATGATTATTTAGAGAGAGTCAAGCCGCGGATGGCGAAACCCATAGACACAAAACCCGCGGATACGGAGACCCGGCTGTCTTTTTTAGACCTAACGGGATTCTATTCGCGCATGCGCCCGGGAGGCTCCCCATGCATTCTTCAGCGAGCCGCTGCTTATAGTAGCGCATGGAGGCTATTTAGGGCGGCTATTTATTTGGGAAGGAATCCCAGTGGGGAGTCGGGGGAAAAGCAAAAGGAGGGCACGTTCAAGGGATCGATGACGCCGGGAAGCAAGGAATACCCAGAAATAGGTGGCGTCCCCGCAAAAGGAGCCGGTGGGGAGCCAGAAAGGGCTGTAATGGGAGAAGCAGCCAGAGCTTCCCATGCAATGTCCATTCACTGACCTGTTCGGAGCCTGTGGCCGCCGCCCCGGAGGCCGCCACTGCCATTTTCGGGCCCTCTTTCCCTCTTCTCCTCTCCTCTCCGGACCCAGAAGCGCTTTTGGCACGGAAGAGAGGCGCCTCCCTCTCCTCCTCCTCCTCCTCCTCCTCCTCCTCCTCCTCGGAGCCTCGCCCCTCGTGCCCATTCCTAGGGGCGGGAGAAGGAGAGAGGGAGAGAGGGAGGATTTAAGGAGGAGAGAAGCAGCTGGAGAAGAAGGGCGAGGGCGCTCTCCACGGATTCAGCCAGCCAAGGCTAGGAAACATTCACGAAACATCCCCCAAGGCCAAGCCATTGCAGATAATTGAACTAGCGTTTCATGGGTGTCCTAGGTGCCTGCTTTCACTTCTTTTGCTTTCCTTCCTTCCTTCCCTCCTTTTTCTTCCTTCGCTTCCTTCCTTACGATCTCATTTCTCTCCCTTCTTTTTCGCCTCCCTCCCTTCCTCTCTTCCCCTCATATACATGCCACCTTTCTTTCCTGGTGACATCACAGAGAGTCACTTCACCTAGCAACAGCCAATTTTTCACCTAGCATCAGGCAATCCAGTGACATCACAACATCACTACACCTAGCAACAGCTGATCCCCCACCTATCATCAGCCAATGCAGTCACAACACAGAGGGCCACTTCACCTAGCAACAGCCAATCTTCCACCTAGCATCAGGCAATCCAGTGACATCACAACATCACTTCACCTAGCAACAGCTAATCCCTCACCTATCATCAGCCAATGCAGTCACATCACAGGTCACGTCACCTAGCAATAGCTAATCCCTCATCTGTCATCAGCCAATATAGCCACATCACAGAAGGCCACTTTCCCTAGCAACAGCCAGTCTTTCACTTAGCATCAGGCAATCTGGTGACATCACAAGGCAACTTCACCTAGCAACAGTGAATCCCTCGCCTAGCTTCAGTCCGTGCAGTCACATCACAGAAGGCCACTTCACCTAGCAACAGCTAATCCCTCACCTGTCATCAGCCAATGCAGTCACATCACAGAAGGCCACTTCACCTAGTAACAGCAAATCCCTCACCTATCATCAGCCAAAGCAGTCACATCACAGAGGGCCACTTCACCTACCAACAGCTATTCCCCCACCTATCATCAGCCAATGCAGTCACATCACAGAGGGCCACTTCACCTAGCAACAGCTATTCCCCCACCTATCATCAGCCAATGCAGTCACATCACAGAGGGCCACTTCACCTAGCAACAGCTGATCCCTCACCTATCATCAGCCAATGCAGTCACATCACAGAGGGCCACTTCACCTAGCAACAGCTGATCCCTCACCTATCATCAGCTAATGCAGTCACATCACAGAGGGCCACTTCACCTAGCAACAGCTATTTCCCCACCTATCATCAGCCAATGCAGTCACATCAAAGAGGGCCACTTCACCTAGTAACAGCGAATCCCTCACCTATCATCAGCCAAAGCAGTCACATCACAGAGGGCCACTTCATCTAGCAACAGCTGATCCCTCACCTATCATCAGCCAATGCAGTCACATCAAAGAGGGCCACTTCACCTAGCAACAGCTATTCCCTCATCTGTCATCAGGCAATGCAGTCACATCACAGAAGGTCACTTTCCCTAGCAACAGCCAGTCTTTCACTTAGCATCAGGCAATCTGGTGACATCACAAGGCGACTTCACCTAGCAACAGCGACTCCCTCGCCTAGCTTATTTATTATTATTTATTTATTGACAGCTTTTATATTCCGCCCTTCTCACCCCGTAGGGGACTCTGGGCAGATTACAGTGTACACATATATGGCAAACATTCAATGCCAATTTTTGACATACAAACATATACAGACATACACAGAGGCTATTTAACTTTTTTCTGGCCGCCGGGGAGAAAAAAGTCCATGCAGTCACATCACAAAAGGCCACTTCACCTACCAACAGCTAATCCCTCACATAGCATCACCCAATGCAGTTACATCACAGAGGGCCACTTCACCTAGCAACAGCGAATCCCTCACTTGTCATCAGCCAATGCAGTCACATCACAAAAGGCCACTTTGCCTAGCAACAGCCAATCTTTTTCCCAGCATCAGCTAATTCAGTGGCACCACAGAAGGCCACTTCTCCAACAACAGCTAATCCCTCACCTAGCATCAGCCTATATAGTCACATCACAGAAGGCCACTTTCCCTAGCAACAGCCAGCCTTTCACTTAGCATCAGGCAATCCAGTGGCACCACAGAAGGCCACTTCACCTAGCAACAGCTAATCCCTCACCTAGCATCAGCCAATGCAGTCGCATCACAAAGGTCTACTTTGCCTAACAACAGCCAATCTTTCACCTAGCAACAGCTAATCGTTCACCTAGTATCAGCCAATGCTGTGACATCACAGAGAGCCACTTCACCTAGCAACAGCCACATTCACCTAGCATCAGCTAGTGTAGTGATATCACAGAAGGCCACTTCACCTAGCAACAGCTAATCATTTGCCTAGCATTGGTTAGTGCAGGGACATCATAGAGCAGGGGTTCTCAAACTACGGCCCAAGGGCCGGATACGGCCCTCATAGAATCATAAAATCAAAGAGTTGAAAGAGACCTCATGGGCCATCCAGTCCAACCCCCTGCCAAGAAGCAGGAATATTGCATTCAAATCACCCCTGACAGATGGCCATCCAGCCTCTGTTTAAAAGCTTCCAAAGAAGGAGCCTCCACCACACTCCGGGGCAGAGAGTTCCACTGCTGAACGGCTCTCACAGTCAGGAAGTTCTTCCTCATGTTCAGATGGAATCTTCTTTCTTGTAGTTTGAAGCCATTGTTCCGCGTCCTAGTCTCCAGGTAAGCTGAAAACAAGCTTGCTCCCTCCTCCCTGTGGCTTCAAGGTCATTTACCCGGCCCTCACTCAGGGTCAACCCAAGTCTGAAACGACTTGAAAGCACACAACAACAACAACAATCCTATCTCAGGAATGTGCCCATGTTTTAATAACACGGAACTATGAATGATGAACATGGAACGGCCAGACGATATTACTGGATAACCTTTTTTACAAGATGACACCGATGATTATATGCTTTAACGTTTTTTATTTATGTTTTATATTGTAATGTTGATTGTTTTTAATGGCACTTTTATGAATACCTGACATCGAATTGTGCCAATCTGTAACCCGCCTTGAGTCACCATAATTGCTTGTGGAAAGGAAGATACATAGTCAATGTTCTTTCTTTTCTCTTTATTATTACAACACCCCCCCCCCCCAAAATCCTTCATTTTGCCATTTTATAGAAAGGGCATCATTTTACTTCATCCTGAGCCTTCATGACTTGGAATCAAATCTCAGCAGAAATAAAAAGACCCGTTGTGTCTGCATTTTTCCCCTGCAGGACAATGCACTGCAGGCAGTGTCTTTGCATCCAATAACGTGGCATGTTCCAAGTCATGGCACTTTTCATATTGGTGCTCTTGTGATGGATGGAGTTTGCCATATATGTGTACACTGTAATCCGCCCAGTCAAGCTGGCTGGGGCTGATGGAAGGTGGAATTTCAGTCCCTTGTCTGCCTTCTATTAAAAACAAACAAAACAACAAACTTGGATCTTCAGTTAAGGAACAATAAGGTTCTCTTTGCTCAGGGTTTGATGTCCATTTTTATTTATTTCCAATTTTGTGTACTTCTGTCTTTTCTGTTATTGTTGATGGACTTTGCTCAACATGGTCCTTGTCATTTTGACATCAATCTTTTGGAAAACCAATGTAGTCTAGGGATAAGTCACACTCTCTCATCTTCAGAGGAAGGCAATGCAAATCTGCTCTGAAGAAATCTTGGCAAGAAAATTCTGACATAAAGAAGGAAGGAAGAAAAGGAGGAAGGAGACGTGGAGGTAATGAGCAAGAAGGGAACCTTTTGGGATCGAAAATGTCAAACTAATATATCATAATACAAAGGTAAATAAATAGAGAAAAAAAGAATCTGTACTTTACATATAATTGTATCATGTTATGAGTTTGGTGGATCAGAGGTCATTTCATCAGGACACAACAACAACAATTCTTTATTGATTAGTCAATTTTGACCATATCAAAACATACAAAACATACACATACAGTAAAACCATATATGAATACAAGGCATCATGGCCTACTGGCCTGTTGACCCACTCCTAAATAATTGAGCAATTACAAGATAAAGAGGTTAAAAGATTAAAATTTGATTAATTCCTTAAAATAGGGTTAGGGTGGGAGGCATGGGTAGGTAAAACTAGTGGTGTCATCAGGACACATTTAAGATGCAAAATGTACTATCTGTTGCTCTTTCTCCAAGCTAGACATCTTCTAGATACCATCTTTCTTGCTCTCCTAGGACTCCTTTCCAGAAGTTTAAAGCAAGGAATTAGAGATGGGGGCATCTATCCGGAGGCTTCTTTTCTGCTTCCAATAACATTTAGATCTCAACTTGTTCACTGGAGATTAATGATTATTTTTAGAAAGCCGGCTGAAATCCTTTGGCTTAGGATGGGCTTGAGCTAAGAAAGGCCTTCGCAGCTCTAGGCACTTTCCCAGCTTGTACACTTGGGAATGGAAAGACCCTGGCCTCCCAGAAACATTGCTGAACTACTACTTCGGTCATAGCTTACTGCTGACCAGGTTGCGTGAACAGCTGTTGTACAACTTCTATAGGGCTACGAGTCCTTATATTTAGTAAGTCCAAAGTTTAGGCCATACTGGACACATAATTCCTAGCCTTGGATCAGTAGATTGTTTTAACCATCGGCCCTTTTGTTGATTTGATTATTCAGATTTTGATTAAATTGTTCTAGCTGAGAATCTCAAGGTCCTTCAGAGCAACTCTTAAGGTCAACTTCCTCGGGAAAGCTATTCTTTGCCTCTAGAAATTAGGTTCTCCAGTCCAGTGCAATTCTGTGGTCAGCATTGAATGAAACATGCAGAATAATCACAGGATGTCTTAAACCTACACCTGTTGATAAACTCCCAAGTTTTCTGCTTCAAACTGGACTGCCCCCGGTGGTACAGTGGATTAAACTGCTGAGGTGCTGAACTTGCTGTCCAAAAGGTCCCAGGATCGAATCCGGAGAGCAGAGTATGCTGGGGGAAATAGAAGGAAAAAGGAAGAAGGGCCGACCAAGGACAAGATGGATGGATGGCATCCTTGAAGTGATTGGCTTACTCTGAAGGAGCTGGGGGTGGTGATGGCCAACAGGGAGCTCTGGCATGGGCTGGTCCATGAGGTCATGAAAAGTCGGAAACGACTGAACGAATGAACAACAACATAATCCAGTTTAAAGCAGAAAACATGAGGTCAGATCCTGGGATATAGGGCCTGCCTGGAAGGGCTCATAAAAGAAACCCTCCAAGGTGGGATACTTTCCCTGTAGGACAGGTTCAACATCTCAGTTACCATCTCCTTAATAGTTTGAACTCCAACCCTTGACAGATTCTGACAACATCAGAGAGAGCTCTTATGCACCTGCAGAAAGGTTAGATCAGTGTTTTTCAACCTTCCTAATTCCGAGACCCCTTTGTATAGTTCCTCATGTTTTGGTGACCTCCCCCTCCCAACCGTAACATTATTTTCGTTGCTACTTCATAACTGTAATTTTGCTACTGTTATGAATCTTCATGTAAATATCTGATATGCAGGATATATTTTGATTCACTGGACCAAATTTGGCAGATACCCAATATGCCTGAATTTTAATACTGGTGGGATTGGGGGGAATTGATTTTGTAATTTGGGATTATAGTTCACCTACAATCAAAGTACGTCCCAAAGAAAAAGAAAACCAAGAAGGCAAAATGGCTGTCTGCTGAGACACTGGAAGTAGCCCAAGAAAGGAGGAAAGCAAAAGGAAACAGGGATAGGGGAGATATGCCCAGTTAAATGCGCAATTCCAGAGGTTAGCCAGAAGAGATAAGGAACTATTTTTAAATAAGCAATGCATGGAAGTGGAAGAAGACAACAGAATAGGAAGGACAAGAGACCTCTGCCAGAAAATTAGAAACATTGGAGGTAAATTTCAGGCAAAAATTGGTATGATAAGAAACAAAGATGGCAGGGACCTAACAGAAGCCGAAGAGATCAAGAGAAGGTGGCGAGACTATACAGAAGATCTGTATAGGAAGGATAATAATATTGAGGATAGTTTTGACGGTGTGGTGAATGAATTAGAACCAGACATCCTGAGGAGTGAGGTTGAATGGGCCTTAAGAAGCATTGCTAACAACAAGGCAGCAGGAGACGGGATCCCAGCTGAACTGTTTAAAATCTTAAAAGATGATGCTGTCAAGGTGATGCATGCCATATGCCAGCAAATATGGAAAACACAAGAATGGCCATCAGACTGGAAAAAATCAACTTATATCCCCATACCAAAAAAGGGAAATGCTAAAGACTGCTCAAACTTCCGTACAGTGGCCCTTATTTCTCATGCCAGTAAGGTAATGCTCAAGATCCTGCAAGGAAGACTCAGCAATACATGGAGCGAGAGTTGCCAGATGTTCAAGCTGGGTTTAGAAAAGGCAGAGGAACAAGAGACCAGATGCCAATATCTGCTGGATAATGGAGAAAGGCAGGGAGTTTCAGAAAAACATCTACTTCTGCTTCATTGACTATTCTAAAGCCTTTGAAGGTGTGGATCATAATAAATTGTGGCAAGTTCTTAGTGGGATGGGCATCCCAAGCCACCTTGTCTCTCTCCTGAGGAATCTGTACAAGGACCAAGTTGCAACAGTAAGAACTGACCACGGAACAACAGACTGGTTCAAGATTGGGAAAGGCGTACGGCAAGGCTGCATCCTCTCACCCAACCTTTTTAACTTGTATGCAGCACACATCATGCGATGTGCGGGGCTTGATGAATGCAAGGCTGGGGTGAAAATTGCTGGAAGAAACATTAACAGATATGCAGATGACACCACTCTGATGGAAAGCGAGGAGGAGCTGAGGAGCCTTCTAATAATGGTGAAAGAAGAAAGTGCAAAAGCTGGGTTGCAGTAAACATTAAAAAAACAAGATTATGGCAACAAGACATTGATAATGGAAAACAGAGGGAGAAACGTGGAGGCCGTGACAGACTTTGTATTTCTAGGTGCAAAGATTACTGCAGATGCAGACTGTGGCCAGGAAATCAGAAGACGCTTCCTTCTTGGGAGGAGAGCAATGTCCAATCTCGATAAAATAGTCAAGAGTAGAGACATCAGACTGGCAACAAAGATCCGCCTAGTCAAAGCCATGGTATTCCCTGTAGTCACCTACGGATGTGAGAGCTGGACCTTAGGGAAGGCTGAGCGAAGGAAGATCGATGCTTTTGAGCTGTGGTGTTGGAGGAAAGTTCTGAGAGTGCCTTGGACTGCGAGAAGATCCAACCAGTCCATCCTCCAGGAAATAAAGCCCGGCTGCTCATTGGAAGGAAGGATACTAGAGACAAAGTTGAAGTACTTTGGCCACATCATGAGGAGACAGCAAAGCCTAGAGAAGACAATGATGCTGGGGAAAGGGGAAGGCAAAAGGAAGAGGGGCCGACCAAGGGCAAGATGGATGGATGGCATCCTTGAAGTGACTGGACTGACCTTGAAGGAGCTGGGGGTGGTGACGGCCGACAGGGAGCTCTGGCGTGGGCTGGTCCATGAGGTCACGAAGAGTCGGAGACGACTGAACGAATGAACAACAACAAAATGAAGAGGCAATTCTGAACTCCACCAACGATGGAATGGAACCAAACTTGCCACACAGAACTCCCATGAACAACAGAAAATATTGGAAGGGTTTGGTAGGCACTGACTTTGAGGTTTGGAGTTGTAGTTCACCTACATCCACAAGTGGACTCAAACAATGATGGATATAGACCAAACCTGGCATGAATACCAAATATGCCCAAATGTGAACACTGGTGGAGTTTGGGGAAAAATAGACCTTGACATTTGGGAGTTGTAGTTGCTGGGATTTATAGTTCACCTACAATCAAAGAACATTCTGAACCCCACCAAGGAAAGATTTGGGCCAGACTTCCCACATGGAACCCTTATGAGAAAACAGAAAATACTGTGTTTTCTGATGGACTTTGGTGATCTCTCTGACACCCCCTCATGACCTCCCAGGGGTCCCGATCCCCAGGTTGAGAAATGCTGGGTTAGATGGACTTGGGCCCTTCATTCAAAGCCTAGTGGGGTCTCTCTCTCTTCCTCTGCGTCTTCCCTGCGTAATAAAGGCCTCCGGGGGAGCTTGGCCCCTGAAGAGGGGTCTCCTTCCCGGGGATCGGCCTGGCAGGAGGGGCGGAGGGAGGGAGGGAGGGAGGGAAGAGAGGCGCCTTTCTTTCGCCCGGCGTTGCCACAACTCCACAACTCCCTTGGCACCGACGTCAGTTTGGTCAACAATCGCCGGGTATAAAGCGCGCCAATCACGGCGAGGAGGGAGGGAGGGGGGCCCAGGCGAGGCGGCGCAGGGAGAGCGAGCGAGCGAGCGAGCGTCCCGCTTTGGCAGCGCGGGGAAGGAGCCCGTGCCCTCGCGGGAGGCCCGGCAGCCCAGCCCAGGTCGCCCCCGTCGCCTTCCCGAGCCCGCTTTCCCCCCGCAGCTCCACCGGGGGCCATGGCGGAGAGCCTCCGCAGGCTGATCAGCAACGAGACGTGCAGGGTCTTGCAGGAGAAGCTCGAGCGCTGGTACCAGGATTATCACGTGAGTGGGGCTCGCGGTGGGATTCCAGCCCCTCCCCTCAGGGGAAGAGAAAGAATCCTATTTGCATTTATGCAAAATAGTCCCCGAACGTTGGCTTTGGGTCCCCCACAGCCACTCAAAGCCCACCTGTCTACTTCTCAGCTGTCAGAAGCAGAGGCTGTTGCTCCTTAGGGTGCATCTGAACTATACAATTACTGCCACTGCTCAATGCTATGGAATCCTGGGAGTTGTAGTTTGGGGAGGTCTCACGCCTCTCTAGCAGAGAAGGCGAAAAAACCTGTTAAGTACACATCCCATGACTCCATAGCCTTGAGCAATGGCAGTTCAGATGGTGTGAATGCCACAGATTTGTTCTTAAATTGCATTTGTATGTAAATTGAAGCTGGTACATTTTTAGGTGTAACTCCAGCCATATGTGGGCAGTCTCCAAGTTACAAACAAGATAAGTTCTGGGATGTTGTAGGTTTTTTCGGGCTATATGGCCATGTTCTAGAAGCATTTTCTCCTGACGTTTCACCTGCATCTATGGCAAGCATCCTCAGAGATAGTGAGGTCTCTTGGAACTAGGGGAAAGGGTTTATATATCTGTAGAATGACCAGGATGGGACACAGAACTCTTGTCTGTTGGAGCTAGGTGTGAATGTTTTAACTGACCACCTTGATTAGCATTTAATGGCCTGGCAGTGCCATTAATGTTGAGAGGTGATTAGATGTCCTAGCTTTTTTCCCCCTCTGTTGTTTTGCTGTTGTAATTTTAGAGTTTTTTTTAATACTGGTAGCCAGATTTTCTTAATTTTCATGGTTTCCTCCTTTCTGTTGAAATTGTCCACATGCTTGTGGGTTACAATGGCTTCTCTGTGTTCCACAGAAAGGAGGAAACCATGAAAATGAACAAAATCTGGCTACCACTATAAAAAAAAACCTCTAAAATTACAACAGCAAAACAACAGAGGGGAAACAATCAGGCACATCTAATCACCTCTCAACAAAAGATTGCCCCAGGCACTGCCAGGCCATCAAAAGTGGTCAGTTGAAACATTCACACCTAGCTCCAGCAGACAAGAGTTCTTTGTCCCACCCTGGTCATTCCACATATATATAAACTCATTTTCCTAGTTCCAATAGACCTCACTACCTCTGAGGATGCTTGCCATACATGCAGGCGAAACGTCAGGAGAAAATGCCTCTAGAACATGGCCATATAGCCTGAAAAAACCTACAACAGCCCAGTGATTCCGGCTATGAAAGCCTTCTACAATACATTGAATCTGTATGTCAGTTGCAACAGATACATTTTTAAAGTGTAACTCCAGCCGCACACACACATATGTATATAGTTGGAGTTAAACATGAGAATACTCAATTCATTCATATAGTATACAAGCATAGAGAACAAATGCGATGGGACTATTTACAATGGTGTAACAAACATAATATTCATGTTTTCCAAATAATTAGTTGGGTCTTCCAAAAGTCGTGTGGACAAACTTTAACATATCCATAAGTTGGCCACACGACTTTTGGAAGATCTAACTAATTATTTGGAAAACATGAATATTATGTTTGTTACACCATTGTAAATAGTCCCATCATATTTGTTCCTATGCTTGTATAATATATGAACTAATTGAGTATTCTCATGTTTAATTGAATTGATACTTTTGCTGAATTTTATAGCAACAGGACATTTGTGTATTTACATTGTACTTATAGATATCTGTGTAGTTAGAGTATAGTTGGAGTTACACTTTAAAAATGTACCTATTCCGACTTACATACAAATGCAACTTAAGAGCAGACCTACAGAACCTATCTTGTAGAACCTATCTTGTGTATGTGTGTGTGTGTGAATACACACACAAGGTAGTTCTGCAAGATAGGTTCTGTAGGTCTGCTCTTAAGTTGAACTTGTATGTAAGTCATTATATATATATGGAATTGCATGTAAAAATGCACCTTTTCCAACTTGCATACAAATTCAGCTTAAGAACAAAGCTACAGAACTGATCTTTTAGAACCTATCTAGTGTGTATGTGTGTGTATACACACACGTTAGGTGTAGAAGATAGGTTCTGTAGGTTTGTTCTTAAGTTGAACTTGTTTGTAAGTCATACAACACACACACAAATATATGTGAGTGTGAATGTGTGCGTGAGTGTGTGTGTGAGTGTGTGGCTGGAGTTACACTTAAAAAATGTACCTGTTCTGACTTACATACAAATCCAATTTAAAAACAAACCTACAGAGCCTATCTTGTTCGCAAGTTGGGGACTGCCTACATTTGGCTGGAGTTACACTTAAAAATGTCCCTTTTCTTACTTACATGCAAATCCAACATAATAAACTTACAGAACCTACCTGCCTACCTACATATCTATATAAAAGCTTTGGATAGCATATTACCCTTATAATATTTGTTTTGCTGTCTGTGCCCCTGATTTCACCTCACTTTATGTCCCCGTGAGAAATGGATTTTGAAAAAAAATGGCTTGTTGTTGATACAAGATTTAATGATAAAGCTTCAGTGGAGACACCTATTATTATTATTATTATTATTATTATTATTATTATTTTACTGACACAAACACAGTATGTCACAGCAAACAAAATCTATATACTGGATTTCGTATCATGAAATCATAGCACCCGTTGTTGTTGTTGTTGTTGTTGTTGTTATTATTATTATTACCCCACTTTATCTCTCCTGAAGGAGATACAAGCAGCTAGTTTCTCCATGAGAACTCTTCCAAGAGTAAATTTCCTTAAATGGGTAGATTTCTTTCACTTCTTCCTGTTGTCTCACCCTCATACTAAACTATGTCGGACATGTGTAACTCGAGGACTGCCTTTATTTACTTGGCAGATCTAATGCTGGAGACCTCTAGCGATTTCCCTGGGAAAGCAGTAACCAAGGACGCTGGTTTCCCAATGCTAAGCAGGCAGTGTTGTGGTTGCCACAGTGACCTGGATACAGAGTTGTGGGCAGCAGGGATTTGCAAAGCCTGCCTCCATTCCTCTCCTCTTGCCAGACAGGATGTCATTGTAAACACTGTTTAGATTAAAATCAACCTCAGTGGTCAGAATAGGCCCACCTCTTGAAAAAAAACATAATTTCTTATTTTGAAGAGTTGATCTGTTGGAGCAAAGTGACAGCAGGACTCAGTTGGCTTTTCTCTTTTTTCCATTCACATTCTATTTGCAGCCTCCTGATAGGCTACAGATTGCTCAGTTCTTGCATTTCTTGTATTTAGATCCTCTGGCAGTGTAGAAGGGACCTATGTTTCCAAGTAAGGAAATAGCAAACCACAGTCTAAGAAATGTACAGCGCCTGGTCTTCATTTCTTGCATTTGGATCCTCATTTCTTGTATTGGGATCCTCTTGCGCCTCCAAGGAGCACAAGACAAAATATACATGCGTGTGTGTGCCTTCAAGTCACCTGTGAATTTATGGTAATCCTATGAATCTCAGTACAATTTTATTAGACAAGAAATAGTCATAGGTGGCTTGCTATTTCCTTCCTTGGAAACATAGGCCTCATCTACACTGCCATATAATTCAGATTATCAAAGCAGATAATTCATATTATCTGCTCTGAAATGGTTTATATGAGTCTACACTGCCATATAATCCAGTTCAAAGCAGATAATCTGGATTTTATCTGGCAATGTAGAAGAGGCCATAGTCTACACTACAACACCTGGTATTTCTTGGCATGGAAAAATGGAACAAGAGCACCTCCCCATGGCTGGAGTTGAGCATCGCCTCCAGACGCCGGAGATAAAAGGGGAAGGCCTTTACCTTTGTCTGTGTATTGTATGTTGTCATTGTTCACTGTGTAAAAGGCATTGAATGTTTGCCTTGTATCTGTATACTGTAATTCCTCTGGGGAGAGAAAGGGAATATAAATAAAGATTATTATTATTATTATTATTATTATTATTATTATTATTATTATTATAAACACAACAGGATGAGTCCACAGCAGACACTGCTGGCTGTTGTATTGGATCACACGTCGGACACTTCCCAAGTGTCTAGGACTGTGTGATGTATTGGCGAATAATACGTGCAGATCCTAGTAAGGTGGCCTTCTGCAGCTGGCAGATGGTAATTTTGTCAGCACCGATTGTGTTTAAGTGCAGGCCAAGGTCTTCAGGCACTGCACCCAGTGTGCTGATCACTACCGGGACCACCTTTACTCACTTGTACCAGAGTCTTTGCAGTTTGATCTTTAAATCCTCATATCGTGTCAGCTTTTCCAGTGGTTTCTCTTCAATCCTGCTGTCACCTGGGATTGCAACATCGACAATACTTTGCTTTTTAACACAATAATGAGGTCAAGAGTATTGTGCTCCAAAACTCTGTCTGTCTGAATCTGAAAGTCCCAGAGTAGTTTGACGTGTTCATTCTCTGTAACTTTTTCCGGCTTGTGAGCCCACCAGTTCTTTGTCGCAGGCAGATGCTATTTGTGGCACAAGTTCCAATGAATCATCTGAGCAACGGTGTTATGCCTCTGCTTGTAGTCTGCGCGATCTTCTTGCAGCAGCTGAGGATATGATTTATTGTTTCATCTGCTTCCTTACAGAGTCTACATTTGGGATCTGTCATCTACTTTTCAATTCTGGCTTTGATGGCATTGGCTCTTTGAACAGGCGTTTAATTAAGCAGTGCAATCAATTGATTGAGTTTGGAACTTGGAATAATGGACGAGGAAATCGGATTATGACTTTACTGATGAGACGTGATGGATTAGTTATATGGATGTATTGATGTTATATTGATGTATTGTTATATTGATCCAGTTACTTTAGTTACTGTTTAAATGCTAATGCTTATGTTGTGCACTTTGTATATTACCTGGTTGTAAACCGCACTGAGTCGCCTACGGGCTGAGAGAGTGCGGTATACAAATAAAGTAAATAAATAAATAAATAAATAATAATTATTATTATTTATCATTTATTATTATCATTTATTATTATTATTATTATTATTATTATTATTATTATTAGTCTTTTGTCAACTTAAGTCAACCCTATGGATTATATAGGGTTTTCATAGGCAAGGAATGCTCAGAGAAGGTTTTGCCAGTTCCTTTCTATGAAATAGTGCCTACGGCAACTGGTATTCTTTGGTGGTCTCCCATCCAAGTAATAATAATAATACATTTTATTGCTTACCTGCTTCTTACCATGTAGTAACCAGGGCTCACCCTGTTTAGCTTCTAAGATCAGACAGGATTTGGTGCCTTTATGGTAATTTAGGACCTAAATAATTACAACTCCCCCCCCCCCCCCCCCCCCCCCCCCGCCTCAACATTTTATGGTAACAAGAGATTTGTGGGGTAAAGTATGCTGAGGAATTGCTACTTCTCAAGGTGACCAGATGAGTTTCCAGGTATAGATTTGAATCCTGGTCTCTCCAATTCAATCCTGGAACTGAATTGTATTCATCCAGCTCCTGTAAAAAATGGCAATTGTTCTAGTTATCCTTGTAACTTCCATTAGAACGTAACCAATGTCCTGACATCACAATGTGTGTTCCCATGCTTTCTCAACAGTGCCTCTCTGCTAGAACGCATTTACTCTCTCATTCTAATACCATTAAAGTATCCAGTAATGCTGAGACTAACTCCAACTTTTGGATATGTTTCTTGAATTCACAGATCAAGAGCGCCTTTTGGGTGCATCATCTCATTTGTTGGCACGTACCTCTCCCCATTCAATTCTAAAATAGGTTTACACATGTGTGAGCAGAATTTCCTTACAGTTGGTGACCCTTTCATAATACACTCTAGTGCTATGATTCTTCTTCAACTACTACGCTTCCTTCATATGACATTGCTGGGATTTATAGTTTATGGAAAGGTGCTTAGAAATCTCTGTTGGGGATCTCTAGTACTTCACAAAATTACAAACCCCATATTTCATAGGATGCAACCAAGGCCCCTTCTACACTGATTTATAATCCAGATTTCAAAGCAGATAATTCACATTATCTGCTTTGAACTGGATTATATGAGTCTACACTGCCATATAATCCAGTTTAAATCAGATAGTTTGGATTTTATAGTTCTGTATAGAGAAGGCCCAAATTCAAGTAGACTCACAGTGCTATAATTGTGTATTTTGAAAGGGCCACTGATAACCAAATGTGGAACTAATTTGATGAAATACATGTTATAATGTGACTGAGTTCTGAATGTGATGCGATTCCCATGATTCCCCATTCATACATGCAAGTTATCACCTGATGGGGAGCAAATGAAGCAATGAGCATGCGTGTTGATCCAATTTTAGGGGATTGGTCCCCCCCCCCCCTAGATTTCTACATGACTATATAGAGTAACTAAAGCATTTCTTGTTTTTCCAGATTAACTCATGTGATCAGAATCTGACCCGATGCTGTGAAATTATGGAATTGAACTCCATGATCCAGGGGCAACTTTTCACAATCCTCAATCAAACATGTCAACAAGGTGAGATGGTTCCCTGTTCTGTATGTATGGACAATGGCATATAGGCCCTACAATATAGACTAGATTATGGTTAGCTCCTATATTGTCACATCATTGTATAGATTTTAACACTCTCTTCTCCCCCACTTTTTTAAACTTTATGATCTAGGTGGACAGTACGCAGGCATGGAAATAATTAAATCTCGGCTCCTGCCATGGTTAGGGTCTTGTCTTTCGAGCCATCCTCCTGCAAGGTCTCCTGAAGGAAGCTCTTCACGCTTGCAGGTACAATGAACTTTATCTTTTTGGATATTGCCTTTGTTTTGTTTTGTTTTTGTTTTTGTTTGTTTTGTTTTTGTTTTGTTTTGTTTCTTTGTTTTCAGAGTATTGAACTGGCATTGGGATATATAATAATAACATTTTATTTATATTCCACTCTGTCTCTCTGAGGAGACTTAGAGTGGATTACAACATACACAGATAGGTAAACATTCAATGCCTTTAATACAATGCAATAACAATGACACACAAATACACATAACAAAGGTAAAGGCTTCCCCTTTCATCTCTGGCTTCTGGAGGTGGTACTCAACTCTGGCCATGGGGAGGTGCTCTTTTTCCATTTCCGTAGACATCTCCTGGTTGCGTTGCTGGCATGGCTGCATGGGTGCCTTTATTACATTCCCACTGAAGTAGTACCTATTGATTTACTCACATTTGCATGTTTTTGAACTGCTAGGTTGGCAGCAGCTAGGGCTAACAGCAGGAGCTCTCCCGACCTGTGGCTTCAAACTGCCAAACTTCAGGTCAGCAGTTCAGCAACACAAGCGTTTAACCCATTGTGCCAACTGCGACCCCCCTATCTTAAATGAAAGTCAATTTGAAAAATTATAAAAAAGATTTGTATTGATCCCAGAGTATGTTCAGGGAGTATGCTACATTACAGCATGTTTTCCATTCCAAAGATCCAATGTTAACAAGAAAAGAGTGACAGTTATTAAGACAGTGGGTTGTTGTAGATTTTTTCGGGCTATATGGCCATGTTCTAGAGGCATTCTCTCCTGACGTTTTGCCTGCATCTATGGCAAGCATCCTCAGAGGTAGTGAGGTCTGAAAAAACCTACAACAACCCAGTGATTCCGGCCATGAAAGCCTTCGACAATACATAGTTATGAAGACATTTTGTTTGATTAATGTAACATCTTAAGAGAACAATAATGTACATAATTGCATTTGGCGATAAGAGCCAATGATTGCTGTGTAGACTACCATAGTTGATCTCTGTGGCTGTTTTTGTATTTGGTAAAGTAGTATTTTAATTGGGAAAGTGGCAGGATAATATGACAAAATGGGTTTGAGATGAGAAATAAAATTTCTTCAAGGTGGTAACTTGTCTATACATTCATTTAAAAGTATTCAATGCAGGACTAGAATTCTATTACTTGAGCTTCTGCTGTTAGCCCTAGCTCCTGCCAAACTAGCAGTCCGAAAACATGCAAATGTGAGTAGATCAAAGCCAAGTTTGGCTTTGGCGGGAAAGGCATAAGATGCTCCAAGCAGGCATGCTGGACATGACCAGGTGTCTATGGACACAGGCTCCTCGGCTTGGAAATGGAGAAAGAGTACCTCCCTCAGAGCCGAAGATGAGCACTGCCTCCAGAGCCAGAAATGAAAGGAGAAGCCTTTGCCTTTGTCTGTGTATTTTTCATTGTATGTCATTGTAACAAGGCACTAAATGTTTGCCTGTGTCTGCTTATATATTGTAATCCACTCTGAGTCCCCCTGGGGAGAAGAAATATAAATAAAGTGTCGTTATTATTATTATTATTATTATTATTATTATTATTATTTTGCACAAACTCAGAGCAGGCTGAACTCAGCACTTTTATTGCTCCCATGGTACTGTTTTCATGATGTTATGTTTTATTGTGATATGTTTTTATTTGGTTTTGTTTTGTTTTGTTTTTATTTTATTGCATTACGTTTTAACTCTGTGTTCTCTGGGCTTGTCCCTTTGTCCGTTCGGGGAGATGGAGGAGGGGTATAAAAATAAAGTAGTAGTAGTAGTAGTAGTTATTATTATTATTATTATTATTATCATTATTATTATCATTATTATTATCATTATTATTATTATTATTATTATTATTATTATTATTATTATTATTATTATTTACTCTGGCAAGCCTGCTTGGTGTAATCTAATAAGTTCTTTGCGTTTCAAACATATTTTCTATGACATGTCGGTGTTTTTGAAAAGCTGATGACACAATACAGCCCCTATCCAGGAAAAATGCATTTAAATATAGTTTTCAAAGTAACTGGAAAAAGGCTGAAGAGAAAAATATATATATTGTGCTTAACCCTCATAAAATTTATCCACAGGTTCACTGAAGCCTAATATGGATAGCTAAAGTTAGCAGAAAGGTTCAGAACATCTATTAGAAATTAAATTGAGCATCTTCAGAACATCTATTAGAAATTAAATAATCTCTCTCTTTCTTATCTCACCTGAGTTTTAATCAGTTTTAATCAGTCTCTCTTTTAACCATTACATGTAGCCTGCCCATTGTCATTGTGATTTTGCCTATTGTAATTTTATATTGCTATGTTTTCATATGTTTTATGTAATTATGTTGTTGTTGTTTATTGTTTGCGTTTTCGGTTTTATATTATTGTAATTTGCTGTTTGGGCTTGGCCTCATGTAAGCCGCCCCGAGTCCCCATTGGGGAGATGGTGGTGGGGTATAAATAAAGATTATTATTATTATTATTATTATTATTATTATTATTATTAGGTTCCTTCTTTCTAAAGAAATGCAAGAGTTTCATGTAGTTACATTGTAAGGTGCCTGCAACATTTGCCACAGCATTTATAAATAATCGTAACAGAATTTTTAATGCTTTTCCTCCTCCTCCTTGATTTTCTTTCCAGCATTGATTCTGTATTTATACTTTACGGCAGGAATCACTGGAGAAAGACAGGACACTGAGGGAACTGTCCAGTTCTCAGAGCCTTGAAATAAAACAGCTGGAGAAAGAACTGAATGCCACTCGTTTGCAGCTCAATCTCGTACAGCAAGAGTAGGATTATTAACTATTTTACATCCTTTACTTTCTTTCTCTCCTATTTTTCCTGTAAGAGTTCTGAAACTATTTAATTCTGTTCATTTGGTTTTAAAAAGCACATGCCACCATTAAAATTTGTAAATTGACTGGCAAGAGAGTATACAGGCAGTCGCCGAGTTATAAACGACTCACACTTAAGAATGAGGATGAGACAACGGGAAGTGAGAGTTATCTACCCCTTGGAAAGAGTGATCATGGGAAAGAGGTGTCTCCACTGAAGTTTTATCTTCAACCTTTGTTTCCACAACAAGCCACATTTTTCAAAATCCAATTATCACAGGGACAGAAAGTGAAGTGATATCTTCTGAACAGGGGCACAGACAGCAAAACAAATACCACAGCCTTGTTCAACCTTCCCTATGCTATCCAAAGTTTATATGGGGCTGGATTCTGACTTACATATACATTCAATTTAACAACAAACCTACAGAACCTATCGTTTTCTCACCCTCGGGGTGAGAAAAGCGGTATAGAAATACTGTAAATAAATATTTTAACTAGCCATCCCCTGCCACACTTGCTGTGGCCCAGTCTGGTGATCTGGAAAATAAGTGTTGGTTTCTAATATATGTAATTTCTAGGCCTGTGCGGTTTCATTTGTTAATTTCGTTATTCGTTAAACATTCGTTATTTTTGGCATTTACGAAACGATATCAAAACACTTTTTCAAACCCGGAAGGGTTTAAAAATATCGAAGCGGCATCCCCCATCCTTTTAACGAGCTTCCGCCTGTTTCGGAAATTGGATGGAGGATGCTGGTGCCTGGGAGCCAATCCGGCGCTCCCAAGCACCCAAGCAGTGCACCGTGGCTGATTTTGATTGGCCGGCAAGGCCTTTAAAAGCGGCTCCGCGCGGCCGCAGAGCTCATTTGTTGCGCGGAGGCGAGGGAGGAGAGAGGTCTGGGAGGGCTGCTTGCTTTGGGTTGGCTTGGTTGCGGTAGCAAAAACACTTGCATTGGGTTGGCTTGAGACTCTTCTGTTGGTGTGTGCTTTTGGCTGTCTTTTGGCTGTGTTAGCTTTAGATTAATTTTCCATTTCTGAATATTTTCTAAAAATACCTGCCTTTTATTCTTAAAAAAAATACAAAAAATATTCCAAAAAGAGAAAAGACTCTTCTGTTGGTGTGTGCTCTCGTTTGCCCTGTCTCGTGGCTGTGTTTGGTCCACATCAGGGCCAGTTTTTGGTTAATTTCCATTTCTGAGTATTTTTAAAAAATACCTGTAGTTGTAGTGTCCTTTATTCTTTAAAAAAATACAAAAAAAATTCTAAAAAAATTTAAGACTCTTCTGTTGGTGTTTGCTCTCACTTGCCCTGTCTTGAGGCTGTGTTAGCTGTTCATCAGGGCCAGTTTTTGGTTCATTTTCCATTTCTGAACATTATCTGAAAATACCTGTGTTTTTTTTTTAAAAAAAATACAAAAAATATTCCAAAAAAAGAAAAGACTCTTCTGTTGGTGTGTGCTCTCATTGCCCTGTCTCGTGGCTGTGTTTGGTCCACATCAGGGGTTTTTGTTTAATTTTCCATTTCTGAATATTTTCTAAAAAACCTGTCTTTTATTCTAAAAAAACCCAAAAAATATTCCAAAAAAGAAAATACTCTTCTGTTGGTGTGTGCTCTCACTTGCCCTGTCTCGTGGCTGTGTTAGCTGTTCATCAGGGCCAGTTTTTGGTTAATTTTCCATTTTTGAATATTTTTAAAAAATACCTGTTTTTTATTCTTTAAAAAAATACAAAAAATATTCTAAAAAAAGAAAATACTCTTCTGTTGGTGTGTGCTCTCACTTGCCCTGTCTCGTGGCTGTGTTAGCTGTTCATCAGGGCCAGTTTTTGGTTAAGTTTCCATTTTTGAATATTTTCTAAAAATACCTGCCTTTTATTCTTAAAAAAAATACAAAAAATATTCTAAAAAAAGAAAAGACTCTTCTGTTGGTGTGTGCTCTCGATTGCCCTGTCTCCTGTCTGTGTTTGGTCCACATCAGGGCCAGTTTTTGGTTCAGTTTCCATTTTTGAATATTTTCTAAAAATACCTGACTTTTATTCTTAAAAAATACAAAAAATATTCTAAAAAAGAAAAGACTCTTCTGTTGCTGTGTGCTCTCGTTTGCCCTGTCTCCTGCCTGTGTTTGGTCCACATCAGGGCCAGTTTTTGGTTAATTTTCCATTTCTGAATATTTTCTAAAAATACCTGCCTTTTATTCTTAAAAAATACAAAAAATATTAAAAAGAAAAGACTCTTCTGTTGGTGTGTGCTCTCTTTTGTCCTGTCTCGTGGCTGTGTTTGGTCCACATCAGGGCCAGTTTTTGGTTAATTTTCCATTTCTGAATATTTTCTAAAAATACCTGCCTTTTATTCTTAAAAAATACAAAAAATATTCCTAAAAAAGAAAAGACTCTTCTGTTGGTGTGTGCTCTCGTTTGTCCTGTCTCGTGGCTGTGTTTGGTCCACATCAGGGCCAGTTTTGGGTTAATTTTCCATTTTTGAATATTTTCTAAAAATACCTGTCTTTTATTCTTTAAAAAATACAAAAAATACGCTTTAACGAATCGATTCGTTATTATCTCAATATCGAATCGAATCGTATTTAATAACGATGCTTCGGAAGCCGCTTTTGCGCATGCGCGATCGCGTCCGCCATTTTAACGAATCGATTCGTTATATCCTTAACGAATCGACCCCGCGCCAATAACAAAGCTTCGGAAGTGATTTTGCGCATGCGCGGGGGTCCGCCATCTTTACAAAATGTTTTGTAAATATTTACGAAATTTTCGTAAATATTAACGGATTGAAGGGGGGAAATTTTGTAATTATTTTAAATATCGAAACAAAAAAACACCCCAATTACAAATCGATTTTAGAAACAAATTTTTTCTTGATCAACCAGGCCTAGTAATTTCTTTATGCTCGTGGGTAAACAGTACTTCTTGTTGTTTCTTTGTTAGTGTTGATGTAGAGATTGTCTGGTTTGCCTACTCTGGAACATGGAACATATCATTGTCCTTCTTTAGGGGTCCCTTTCAAAACTATGATATTATATCTGTCATATATATGTGTGTGTGTGCATATGTGTGTGTGAATCATACATCTATGGCTAGATGGCTCTTTGTCAGGAGGGCTTTGATTATGTTTTCTTACCCTGGTGAAGGGAGTTGGACTGGATGGCCTTAAGACAGCATTTCTCAACCTGGGGGTTGGGACCCCCGGAGGGGGTGTCCAAAGGGTTGCCAAAACCCACAAGAAAACAGTATTTATTTATTTATTGGTCATGGGGGTTCTGTGTGGGTGGTTTGGCCCAATTCTAATATTGGTGGGGTTCAGAATGCTCTTTGGTTGTTGATGAACTATAAATCCCAGTAACTACAACTCCCAGATGTCAACGTCTATTTTCCCCAAACTCCATCTGTGTTCACATTTGGGCATATAGAGTATTCGTGCCAAGTTTGGGCCAGATCCATCATTGTTTGAGTTCACAGTGCTCTCTGGATGTAGGTAAACTACAACTCCCAAACTCAAGGTCAATGCCCAACAAACCCTTCCAGAATTTTCTTTTGGTGGTGGGAGTCCTATGTGCTAAGTTTGGTTCAATTCCATTGTTGGTGGAGTTCAGAATGCTCTTTGATTGTAGGTGAACTTTAAATCTCAGCAACTACAAATCCCAAATGACAAAATCAATTTTTTTTAGTGATGGTCACTCCTTGAGGTAGTAGGTGTATTGTGTCTAAATTTGGGTCAATTCGTCCAGCAGTTTTTGAGTTATGTTAATCCCACAAACGAACATTACATTTTTAGTTATATAGACATTGTATTTTGATTATATTTAGATATAGTCACATGTTTTCCCACACACATTTTTTCCATAGATGTGTCATTTGTATTTGTTTACATAGGTTGCTCCTACCCCTTTGACTCAATGGCTCTCCTCTAATTGGGGCTAACAATAAAATTCATTTTATTGGTTTTGCTTTTTTAAAATTTCTGAACAGAACGTATGCCTTTTATATTAAAAGTGTGCATCTGGGTGTCGACTTCTCTTGCAGTCTTGCAGACACCCAACTGGCTCTTGAGGACACAAAGGCCAAGTCAGCCACCACCATTTTGGCAGCTGAGGATGAAATTGTTCAGCTAAAAGCAGAGTAAGAGAACTATGTGCAAGGCTGTTGATGACTATAAACTGGTGGCATGTGCTGGTTTCCATTTTATTGAGCTTCTGAATCTGCTTGGATTTCAGTCCAAAGTTTTAAAAAGCTATCCAATGAACTGAACTCTATTTCTATCCCAAATCATTTCAGCTTCTTTAAACTCAGCATGGATTCATTGCTTCACTGACATAAACACACCAACTGCGACTGACTGTGAAACTTGTCAGTCACAGATTTAATACTCTTTTTATGTCCTGTTCATATTCTTGATCATTTATTATTTCCTGTGGATTTACGAGGGTTGAATGAAAAATAATGCCTTTACCTTCGTTACTTGGGCTTGGATGGCAATATTTTAATAAATCAAGCGCAGAAATAATCCTTAGAATGTGCTCTTTAACTATCACTATTCACTTTTCCACATAATCATCAGACAATTGGATACATTTTTGCCAACGATGAACAAGTTTCCTGAAGCCATCACAGAAGTCAACACTCTGTTTCCGCAACCCATCGTGCACAGATCTTCCAATAGCCATGCAAAGGAATGTGACCTACACATTCTTGTGAAATGCTGATTATGCTTGAAGTTTCACTCTGAGTGATATGATGATCGTCCTGAATCAATCTGTCAACCTTTTGCCTGTGAAACTCGGTGGTTGCTGTCACAGGACGTCCAACTCTTTGTTACGCAAGTCAGATGTGCCCACCTCAACATCTTTAAACTTACTCGCCCAACGACACACAGTACTCACATCAACACAATCATCATAAACAGCTTGCATTCTCTGATGAATCTCCTTTGGGTTGACAACACCTTCTGCTGTCAAAAATTCAATGACTGCATGTTGCTTAAGTCGCATTGACTGACCGTCTGCAAAGGGTTCCATACTTCACACTTTAACAACACAATCGTTCAATGATAAGGCTTCCCGCCAAAATGGAACTGTAGAGGAGAGTCCACTGAACAAGCCAGTACCTGCCACATACTGCCATCTGTTAAGGAGTCACGAAGGTGGAGGCATTCTTTTTCATTCAACCCTCATAGATTATCCTTTCCTTACCTGATGTTCTGCACTTGGTATCTGGGATATGTCTCAAGATGCTCAAAAGATGACAGTTCATTGGTGGAAAAGGTTGATATGTCCTGGCTTATGTGTGCTTTAGGAGTCTTCTTCAGTGGTTATATCAATAATAATAATAATAATAATAATAATAATAATAATAATAATAAATTTTTTATTTGTATCATGCCCGATCTCCCCAATGGGGACTCAGGGCAGTTAACAACACACAATAGCAAACATTCAATGCCATAAGGTGCAAAGAACAAATAAAAAGACTACCATAAATTAAATAATTTAATTATCAAATCATTTAATAATTTAATTATTAAACATCAAATCATAAAGGAGCAAAATGTGTTGCTGTTGTCTGCCTTCAAGTCATTTCTGATTGCTGACTGTTGCACCCCAGGCCTGGAAACACCTATGACCACAGCATCACACAAGAGTCCAGAGTATAAGCAAAGAGTTTATTGTAAAAATATATAAAAATATATGAAAAATCAGGACGAAAGAAGAAGATGTATAATTAAAAAAATGGTTTAAGTGATAACCAAACAATAATCCAACTGTCTTATGTAGATCCCAAGGTAACACAGTCTAGGAATAGCCAAAAAGTTACAGGTACAGCATAAGTGCACAAGCAAAAGGTATACTTAGTAAAACTTGAGCAGGAATATAAAGGCAAGAACATAGAAAACTTCCAGGAAACTTAAATCCAAAACCAAGGCTTGACTTGAAACAAGAACCAGAATACTCAGGCCTAGCTTCACACTAGACATTGCCTGAACTAACTCCTAGGTAAACAATTTGCTAATTGATAGGCATCCATTAAGTCATGTTTTTTCCCCACAAAATTTCTCCCCAACTTTCCCATGTAATCGCTCGGACCTATGATGCCTATTTTTTGCTCTGATCTATAAATGATGAGCTTTGTTGATCTCCGTAACGCTAGGTTTTTCTTCTGAGAGCCTTCTGTATCACTTATCTCTTTGCTTGACTCCTTATCTAATGTTGCAGTTTCTGGCTTCTCTGACTGACCTTGAAGCCCTGCACTTTCCAAGTCAGATTTCTCACAGAGAGAAGCAATATTCCCCTGACTGGAATCGTCATCATTTCAGACCCCAGGAAATCCCACAGGAAATCCCACAATCCTCTCTAAATAATCAATTAACCCATCAGCCTCAGGAGTCTCAGGTTGATTTCCAACAGTGATGAATTTGTCACTGGGCTGTATTGGCAGAATTTGTTCAGAGAGGGTTTGCTGTTGTATTCTTCTGAGAGAGTGTGACTTTCCTGAAGTCACCCAGTGGCTTTCCATAGCCGAACAGAGATTCAAACTCTTCAGTCTCATTTTCGTAGGCCAACGAAAATGAGGTACATTATCTGTAGCATGTCCTCGTTGGTACATTATCTGTAGCATGTCCTCTAGAGCACACATTGGCCACAAAGGGTCTGGCTTTTCTGCTATCTTTTGACATCTTGTGATGTGTTTTTTGATTGTCCTGCAGACTCCAGAAAGTATTCTCAATTTTTTGTGGATTCTGCAGATGCTTCAAACTTCAGCTCACATGATTCTACATTAGTAGCTACATTAACTGTGATGAATGAAAGCTGCGCTGTAGTCAAAAACGTGTGGAGGTTGCCCATTTTTTATCTCACCTGTTTTGTGTGGGTTTTTTTTGCTGTTTTTAGAGTGTGAATGCTTTTGTCTAAGAAATTAGAGACATTTTGAATCCAAAAGTGTGCCACAATAGCATGTGTGATTAGGGTAGCGCATCAACAACTATTATTTATTTATTTAAAGCATTTATATTCTGCCCTTCTCACCCAGAGAGGGACTCAGGGTGGAACACAACATATATATGGCAAACAATCAATGCTGGAACATAAAATAAGCTATAAATATACACAAACACTAAAATCAGTTATCTCTAAAATCAATTGTTTAAAACCATCTCAGATCAGCCATAGCCAACAACTAGGCATGCCTTATGTAGTGTGTCTCAGAATTGTAATTAATGATTTGATCTATTCTAATATTAGGATTAGGGAGCTCTGGTGGTATATTTCTAGGCGTGAGTGCTCCAGAAACTGTACTTTTAGTGCTTCCTGAAGATGTCATATTAGATTTGTGAAGCACTCAAAATTACAGAAAATATATATTGTGAACCACTTTTTTCTCGCTGAGAAGACAACAACAACAACAAAAATTAGGACAAAATATCCAATGCAGAGTGAAATGAATGTAATACTTTATAAATAGCAGATACATTATGCGGAGAAATCCTCCTCTTTCACGAGATGTGATTTTTCAGTAGTTCAACACCAGACATGCAAGGATTTAAGTGTAATGCAGATAAAATTTACATGAAGGACAAATGTCATTTCATATTTCTTTTTGGTGTGCATGGGTAACTTTGACATGGTTTCTAATGATCAGCTTTTAACAATTTTGTACAAATTTGTTAATATAGTGTTAAGCAATGTCCTTACTTTGGTAGAAACACCCCATTTCACTGAATTTATTCTTTGTGGTTAAGTCTAAAGGCTTCTCGAGCAAAAGAAGAGTGTGCTCTGATCAACTTGGAGCGACTGAATGAGTATGAGCAGCAGATTCTAACACTGAAGGATGAGATTGCTGTCCTCGCTGCTCAGAAATCGGTTCTGCAAAGCAAGTAAGACTCTTGCCCTATCTAAGTTAAGAAGCTACTTTTTCTATAAAAGCAGATGCAGTACATCCCTCATATCTATGGGACTGGTTACTTGCATCTGACAAAATATATCCCCTCTAGGTATTGTCTAGGTGCTCTAGGTATTCAAGAGTACTGTCTAGTAAAGAAAAAGTTCTGTCATTATTACCATTTGGCAATTCTCTTCCAGACTTGCACGGAGTCGGTCACCTTCCCCAATATCTGCCCGAAGTAGATCTCCCAGCCCATCTCCAATGAAGAGTTTCTCACCTGGCTGTTCAAGACTCACAAATGCTTCCCGTCACGCTAACCTTGTGGAACGCTTCAGTGATATTTATACTCAGGAACGCTTGGATGCTCAAAGCCTCTTGAGGAGTTACATTGATGATCTGGAGATTGTGCAGAGAATAATCTACATTGCAGCTGTGGTAAGGGTGAAATATAACCTTTTCTTTCCAATATCACTCATGCTTGTAATATAGCCATTTGTAAATCTCTCATACCTCAATAAGAATCAGTCACATGCGTAATAATAATAATAATAATAATAATAATAATAATAATTTTGTGTGAGTGATGTGAATTTGGCTTTGACTTTTAGGTGGACATAGCGATAGTCATAGTAATGGTGATGATGATGATAATGATAGTTGTTATTATAAAAGCAGACAGGTAAATTCTCTGGTGACATATAAAGGTTGAAGTAAGTATCCAAATGACTTTTATAACCCAGGAACAAAAGTCATGTTACATAGTGTAATTAAATGACCTGGTGTTTGTTTGTTTTTGTCCCAGATTTCTATCTTTAATAAGCTTTTTTATTGTTTGTAGGAATCTTTCCAAGCTGCAAAGAGGGCATACAGACAGTTCAAAATGCGTGTTAGAAAGACTCTGTCCCTGAGTTACTCTGGTTCTGAATCACTCGAAGACATGGTGATGGACTATATCATTCGCCAGGAGGATCTCTATGATGTTCAGTCCAGTGTCAATGTAAGTTTTAATGTGAATGGGGCAGTATCTGTACTCAGTGCACACACACTCAGTGTATTAATGGAGCTTTGCTACTCTGTCATTTCTTTAAACAGCAGTAGATTTATGCAGCATCCAAATGGAGGATAACCTTTAGATTGGCATTATCTATTCTAACAGAATTGGTAGAAGAGGATTGCTCTTTAACACTAGGGTGTTGTTGCACACTAGCACTGGAACACCCTTTCACCCAGCATCACATCAGAGTTCAGTAATTCAATCTAAAAATGTTTATTAAAGAAAGCAGATAAAAAGGGGAAAGGGGCAATTCCAAAAGGGTCAGTAGAATAGAAAATACAAAATAGCAGTAATCCAAAAATGACAAGGAACATAAATCCAAGGAAATCAAAATCCACAGCAGTACTCCAAACATAAATCCATGAACAGGAAAGCAGGAACTTTCCCGAGATAAACCCTCTAAGGAAACAAAGCCATAAACAAGAACAGGAAACTTGAGAATACTTGAACCAAGAACTTGACTGCAGAGACGGGAGAACAATCTCCTATAGCAACATTGTCTCCTCTAATAGGCCTGAAAACAACCCACTAACTTAATCCTGCTAAACCACCCATGACATCATTCCTCATGCACCTGGATCTCCTCTCAGCCTTAACTCTGAGCCTCTGAGAAAATCTCATGTGCCGACTTTTAACACCTTCGTTCCAAGGGAACTGGTACTTTCATTTCCTCCTGTTGCCTGGGAATGAGCTGAATAATCCCAAACATCAGTCTCATCTGCCCACAGTTCCCTCCAATCACTCGCAGACTCTTCACTTTGAAACCCATCATCCCCCTCATCCTCTGAACATTCAGAAAAATCCTCTGATTCTTGCCAGACTACAACAGGTGTCCCAAAAGCAGCTGAGAAACCCTCTGCAGCTGATTGTGGATGATCTACTGTATACTACTGTTTATGACATCTCTCTGCTGAAACTGCTTGATTACATATAAATTAATGCAACAATGAGCAGAAAATACAGAAACCAGCAACCTAAACAATAGCAGTATAAAACCCAATTAAAATAAAAAGTCAAGTCATATCAGAAATTAATATGCCAGAACAAGTTAGTAGAATAAAACTGACAAAAAGTTTATCTAGGCTTTTAAAAAACAAGCAGATAAATCAACCTGGCAGCATCTTGAAACAACAGTGATGTGAACATTGCATTCTACATTGCATTATTTTCCCAGTTATAAAATGTTTTTGATTGTGTTAGGAAAATATGACTCTTCTGTCCAAGATGTATAATCTAGATAAATTATATCAGGCTCCATAGACCCAAAACTATGCAAATCTGGTGATAAAATAATTACCAGGAAAGGCCATAATATATAACTCCATTTCACTAATGTTAACATTATTTTAGGCCAGCTACTGAAAACTTTTATAGTACTGTTTTGGAAAAGAGATACTACCTTGTCTTGACATAATACTTCTCTCTCCTTTGTGCTCCTTTTCTTGTTTGTGTCTATGTTTGTGTGTCTGCATGTACATATGCAGGTGTGTGTGCTTTACTGACTTTTGAATTTTATCTCATCTCTTATTTAAAGCACACTTATAACTTTAGGTTTGTGTTCTCATCCTAATGACACTTTATGTTGCATTTGCTTTCAGGATGTCATCCGTGCAATGAACACCAACCCTCAGATTTCCTTCCCTCCAGAAGTTGATTTTATCATGATCAGTAGTTTAATACGGGAGTTGTGCAGGGTGGCCTTTTCCATGCAGACTTTGGACCCTCCACTCGATGTTTCATTTGGTACAGATGGAGAACTTTTTAGCGAGTACAAGTAAGAGAAGTTCAAGCATATAGACTTGTAAATGTGAATGACATGGCTGTTATTCTCTTCCCTCCATTCGGTGGTGGGCAACTACACAGGGTTGTGAACTCTAGGTTCTTGTAGGTTTTTTCGGGCTATAGGGCCATGTTCTAGAGGCATTTCTCCTGAGGTTTCGCCTGCATCTATGGCAAGCATCCTCAGAGGTAGTGAGTGCATGGCCCTATAGCCCGAAAAAACCTACAAGAACCTAGTGATTCCGGCCATGAAAGCCTTCGACAATACGTTGTGAACTCTATTGAAATATTGTAGAGAAATGGCATTATCAACTGCAGTAGATACGGTGAACTTGTTAATAATGCTTGTTATTAATTCCATCATTACTATTACTTTCTGCTTTATTTTAATCTGTTTATTTTGAAGCATTCTTCAGTTGGTTAAGGCCCTTTCTACACGGCCATATAAAATCCCGATTACCTGTTTAGAACTGGATTATATGGTAGTGTAGATTCATATAATTCCATTCAAAGCAGATAATGTGGATTAATCTGGATTATATGGAAGTACAGAAGGGGCCTGCGTGAATTAAATATGGTATAATACATTGCTTTCTAAACTATCTGATGTTTGGAGTCCAATAAGCTTTCCCCCTTCAATGTTCCTGGAAACAGGACTATATTATTTATTTATTTACAGTATTTATATACCGCCTTTCTCATTCCTGGGGGGACTCAAAGTGGTTTTTAATTCCATCAGTACTATTGTTAGTAGTCATTGAATACAAATGTTGCTTTTTTCCTCTGGAAATTCCCAAAGGGAAAGCAGGCAGTTGCTCAGAGACCAACACTGTCTTGGAACCATCACTTTGATTACCATACACACTACACAATTAGAGCATATTGCTACCATTTTGCCACCATGGCAACAACCTATGGATTCCTGGAATTTAAAGTTTAGGGAAGGGTATTAAGAATTTCCAGGCAGAATGCCTCACAAAATCTCCAACTCCCAGATTCCATAGGTTAATCCTGCAGTAGTTAAAGGTGGAATCATAGCACTATATTAGTTTAGTGTGACTAGATAAATCAGATTTTAAAATTCTCAATCACTTATGAAGCTCAGTGGATGACTTTGGGCCTGTTGCTTGTGTTTGCAGAATCATAGGCTGGATCTACACTGCCATATAATCTAGGTTATCAAAGCAGATAATCCACATTATCTGCTTTAAACTGGATTATATGGGGCCTCTTCCACACAGCTGAATAAAATCCCATATTATCTGCTTTGAACTGGAATATATGTCAGTGTGGACTCAGATAAACCAGTTCAAAGCAGATATTGTGGGATTTTCTGCCTTGATATTCTGGTTATATGGCTGTGTGGAAGGGCCCTGAGTCTACACTGCCATATAGTCCATTTCAAAGCAGATAATCTGGATTTTATATGGAAGTGTAGATGGGGGCATAGACTTATAAGATGTGATTCTTCTCATAAATTTGGAAACCTGCCTTCCTGACAGTATGCAGGAGCGTGTTTTAAGAGGGAAAAAGAGTAGGGATGTCTTGTTGTTGTATAGCACATCAGAGGAAAGAGGTAGGGAGAAAGGAAAGAAAGGGGAAAAGAAGACCCACTCTTCTTTCCCCCTGAAATAGAAGGCATGGGCAATCCATGGTTCTAAATGGTTCTGAAGTATTTACAAAACTAGGGGGCGCTGGTGCCTTGCTTCTACAGTGTTGCTAAAGTTCTTGTGGTGAAAATTTCAGAACTGTAACAAAACTTTCAAAATTTCATTATAAATGGCAGTTCCTAATGGGTTCTGTCATAAAAAATTGCCAATAATGAAATAATAATGAAATTTTGGAAGTTTTGTTAGAGTTTTGAAATCTTCACCACCAGAACTTTAGCAACACAGTAGATGCAAAGCATCAGTGCCCCCTAATTTTGTAAGTACTTTAGAACCATTTAGAACCATGGACTGCCCATGCCTATGAAATAGTACTGAAAGGCTCTGGTTTAATGGGTGTAATTAGTGTCACATAGACTGCCAACTAAGGTGCAAATGAAATCTCCTTATGTGTGTCCAGATACCGCCGCAGCTACGACTCTGAATTCTCTGCTCCGCTGGTGGCCTACCATGTGTGGCCTGCTCTCATGGAAGAAGATTCTATCATCGTGAAGGGAGAAGTAGTCACAAGAAGAGGCGCTCTAGTAAGTGCTTTACTCAGATGCAAAGGATGTCAGCATTTTGGCTCATATTCTGAATCGCTTCCAAGAGCAAACAACTCACATTACATCCTAAGAACCTTATTAATGGTGGTAGAGGCCCATTACTTGAATATGTGTTGCACTTCAGCCCAGGAATACCTTTTCACCTTGCATCATACAGAGTCCAGTAGTAGCTAACTAGAGCAGTTTATTTACAAAAAGGATATACAAAAGGAAAAATGGGCATTTCCCAAAAAGCAGTAGAAAAGGTGCTATGAAATAGCAGTAGTCCAAATATACAAAGATGAATAGTCCAAGATAGCAAGAAACATGAAATCCATGAAGTCAAGAGCATAGTTATCCATTTTCCAAGACAAAACTCTTTCAGAACAAAGGCAAACTTGAGAGCTGAACATGAACTTGATTTTATGGCAAAGTTGTCTGCTCTGAAGAGACCAGGAAAACATCACTTAATTTAAGCTCAAATCTGACCAAGAAGCCATGAAGTCATCCCTCCCACCCTTCGACACCTGGGTGTCAAGGGCTGCTTCTCACAGAGTCTCTCTGACTTTCTAATTAACCTTTCCTTTGCTCTCTCCAAGCGGAGGCCTAATCTCATATCATGGGGTAACTCCCCATCTTGTGAAGTCCAAAAAGGCCAATTCTCAAGAGCAATGGAATCCCAAACATCCTCAATCTCATCTGTTGCTGTCGGCCATTCTCTCTGATCTGTCACTTGCATTTCTGTCTGTGTTTCAGCCTGATCGTGCACAGACTCAGTGAAAAATCCATTATTCCTCTCATCCTCCAAGGCAGAATCCCCAGCATCTTGCTGCTGAGCTGGGGCTCTTTCTGCAAGTGATAGTGATGAGGCTGCATGCACTAACCCACTGTGAGCCAGAGGTCCTCCAAATTTGTGGCTTCTCGTGATGTCCAAATTGGGTTGAGGACTATTCTACTACCTTGCTAAACTTGGTTTTACATTGGGATTTCAAATGGGAGTTAGCATTTCCAAGAACTTCCACTCAGCATTTGGGGCAATGATCTTAACATAGGGACATGTTAAGGCTCGTGTATTCTTCCCTTGCACATTGCATTCTTGTCTTCTGATAACATTACTGAAGTAATTACTCTCTGTTTAAGAATGTCATGTCTCATATTCTATGTATATTTTTAGTGGTCTCACAGAAGTAGAAGCCGGAGCAGATGCCGCAGTCGCAGCCTGAGCCCTCTGTCTCGCAGTGCTGGCTACACCCGACACTTGGTAAAGTAGAATGTCCTGATTTGCAATATGATCCAAGATTGGATACAAATCCATACACTGAAAGCAGCATTTAACCTTTGAGATGAGTAAGAGATGCATGCATGGAGGCGGGAGGCCAGATAATTATATCTTCAAGCCATATCCCTTGTCTCCCTCCAACTTGATCCAAATTGTCAACTTATTTATTTATTTACAGTATTTATATTCCGCCATTCTCACCCTGCAGGGGACTCAGGGTGGATTACAATGTACATATACATGGCAAACATTCAATGCCATAGACCCATAACATATATAGACAGGCACTCAGAGGCTATTTAACATTCCAGCTTTTTCATGAGGGTATTCTGGCCACCAGGGGAGCTGTCGCTTCACCGTTTATTTGTGACATTGATGAAGAACTTCTTCATTCTTTGCATGCTTGCTGGAGATTTTTATGGCATCGTAAATTAGCCTCCCTGCACAAGCGGTACCTAAATTTCTTACTTGACAGATGCAACTGTCTTTTGGGCTGCAAAGGTCAACAGCAAGCTACACAAATTGGTCAGAAGCTCACTCCGACCTGGGCTGGCTTAGAACTCATGACCTTTTGGTCAGTAGTGTTCTTAATGCAGCTGACTCCCAGCCAGCTGCGCCACAGTCCCGGTCCACTCTCACAAAACATTAAGTATAGGGGCATCACAACAAGTAAGAACCCTGAACAGAATCAACTTAGTAAAGAAGTGGAGAGTGGCAACTGGTGGCTCCCATGTCAGTAGAGCAGTGGATCTATCCATTAGTTTGTACTTTAAAGGAGACATTGGAAAAGCTGTTTTAAGGCTCTCTTAAAATTTGGTCTAAAACCCAGAACAGAGTCACTGGCCCATCGACACTGGAGCCACTAGCCACCAGTGGCTTTGTCAAAAGCTTCTTTGGATGTGTTAAATGAAGTTAGAGAAGACATTGAGAAAAGACCTTCTGTGTTTGCGGGCTTCACTTTTGCACATTTGATTATATATTGATTTAATCACCATATTTACTAGAGTATAATGTACCATTGATTTAGCCAAACAATGAACGTTAGACAATGGTAATATGGTCTCTAGGAATTTCTAGGTCTTCCAACTTGTGCAATAAGGATGTAGGGACTCAATGAGAGAACACTAAACGTTTATAAGTTCATCAGCGGTTGAAGTTGCCTATAGAATTGTGCTGAAGGATCTAGAGTAGTGGTGCTCAACCTGTGGGTCCCCAGGTATTTTGGCCTACAACTCCCAGAAATCCCAGCCAATTTACCAGTTGTTAGGATCTCTGAGAGTTGAAGGCCAAAACATCTGGGGACCCAGATGAATGTAGAGGACTAACTGTATAGTTGAGTATCTCACCTGAAAACATCCAGTTCTCCCCCTTCTCCTTTTCTTATCTTGTTTGGGTTGGTGGATGAATGTAAGAGAATGTATAAATTCAAATGTATAAGTGGAGATCTTTCTAGATCAGTGGTTCTCAACCTGGGGTCCCCAGATGTTTTTGGCCTACAACTCCCAGAAATCCCAACCAGTTTACCAGCTGTTAAGATTTCTGAGAGTTGAAGGCCAAAAACATCTGGGGACCCCAGGTTGAGAACCACTGTTCTAGATCAAAATGAGTTGGGATGGGTCAGTCATGTTATTTCATCTCCCTTTTGTTCTTTATCTTCTAGCCACCTCGACACCGCAGCCCTTCACCGCTAAGGAGCGGAAGCCCAAGTAAGTGGGCACATTCAGAACTTAGACGATCATGGCTTTAAAATGCTCGAATAATCAAGTAAACAGAAAATCTAATGATTATTCAGTGTTATTTTTCTTCAAAACAGCACTGTTCCTTAGTGACTCTCTATGAACGTAAGGGCGTCTTGTTCATTTAGTATCTTCAATAGGCTTCTGATTTGAGTCTATGCTTGGTCTCCAATTCTTTGGTCCCCAGGACTCAGGTCATCCAGATGGCTCCTATTTCAATATCTGCTGTAGGTAGACAACTATGCAATGACACCTGCCAGTGGTTCCTCTGAGGCCCCTTCTACACTGCCATATAAAGGCCAGATTATCTGCTTTGAACTGGATTTATGGCAGTGTAGACTCATATAATCCAGTTCAAAGCAGATATAATATAGATCAGGGGTCCTCAAATTTTTTAAACAGAGGGCCAGGTCACGGTCTCTCAAACTGTTGGAGGGCCGGATTATAATTTGAAAAAAGCATGAATGAATTCCAATGCACACTGCGCATATCTTATTTGTAGTGCAAAAAACATTTTAAAACAATACAATAATTAAAATGAAGAACAATTTTAACAAATATAAACTTATTAGTATTTCAGTGGGAAGTGTGGGCCTGCCTTTGGCTGATGAGATAGGATTGTTGTTGTGCTTTCAAGTCATTTCATACTTAGGTTGACCCTGAGCGAGGGCCGGGTTAATGACCTTGGAGGGCTGTATTCGGCCCTCGGGCCTTAGTTTGAGGACCCCTGATGTAGATTATCTGTTTTGACAATCTGGATTATATGGCAGTATAGAAGGGGACTGAGAGCTCTTTTTGGGGATATAATGCCTAATCCCCATCATCCAACATAGAACTAAGCATATTGAAATTAATGTATAGAACCCAACGCTATTGTTTTGACACTGACTGTGATGACCAGTAGCTTTGAAATGTGCTGAATCTGCTCTGGGTTTTATTTAAAGGAGCCCTTCCAAGGGTTGAATCTTGTCCTCTAAATCAGTGGATCTCAACCTGTGGGTCTTCATGTGTTTTGTCTTACAACTCCCAGAAATCCCAGCCAGTTTACCAGCTGTTAGGATTTCTGAGAGTTGAAGGCCAAAACATCTCAAGTTGAGAATCACTGCTCTAAATCAATTCAGCAATTCACTATTTTAAAATCTGGAATAAAATCCGGGGTAGATTGATTATATCCATGAAGTTTTGGCCAGTTCTGAGATGTGAAACTATTTTCATCAATTGAATGGGAGGCGAGTAATTCTTATTTCCTTGGACATCCCCACTGCATACTCTGAATCTTCTGCAAGGAGCTGAGATACTTGCTATATTCAGTGTTTGGAATAGGTTTAAAGGAAGAGAAGAAGATCTTGTTATGCTAAGTAATATGATTCTACGATTGATGCAGGTTGAGCAACTCTTATCCAGAATTCTGACTCTGAAATACTCCAAAATTGTCTGCATGGATGGCGGAGATAGTGGCATCTTTCATCTCTGATGGCTCTGTGTACACAAATGTTGTTTCAGGCAGAGAATTATTAAAATATTGTATAAACTTATCTTCAGGCTATGTGAATAAGGTGCTTATGAATCACAAATGAATTTTATTTTTAGACTTGGGTCCCATCTCCAAGATATCTGTATTTACATGTAGCCTGGATACCTGTATTTACATGTAGATTATGTATCTACATGTAAATACAGGTATCCCAAAACCCAAAACATGTCTTGTCCCGAGCATTTTGGATAAGGGATACTCACTTTATAATAGAAACCCCCGGTGGCACAGTGGGTTAAACCCCTGTGCCAGCATGACTGAAGACCGACAGGTTGCAGGTTCGAATCCGGGAGAGTGCGGATGAGCTCCCTCTATCAGCTCCAGCTCCTCATGCGACGACATGAGAGAAGCCTTCCACAAGGATAATAAAACATCAAAACATCCGGGTGTCACTATAAAATTTCTCATACTATATTATTTTATCCTTACTCTGATGTATGTATAATAACAATAAATAAAATTTCAAAAAAACAAAACAAAAAAAAACATCTGGGCATCCCCTTGGCAACGTCCTTGCAGACGACCAATTCTCTCACACCAAAAGCGACGTGCAGTTTCTCAAGTCGCTCCTGACACGGCAAAAAAACCTCCCCAAAAAGCTTTATAATAGCCATTGAGCATAAATGGTCTTATCTTTCTGGAAAAAGTCAGTTCTATGACCATCATTACACTTTATACTGGATCCTGAAATGATTCGTAGTGCAATTCTATACAGGTCTACTCAACCGAGTAAGTATAGTATTTCATCTTCCTGGGAGCACACAGAGCTTGAAAGTCATCATTATATTTTTAAAGTTCCAAACTGAAATGTTTATTTTTCTCCAATAGGAATTTAGCTTAACTGGATATTGGTTTGTTGATTCTCGTATACTTCTGGATCAGTCGGCTTCTATGGTGCCTTCTCCTGTTCCGAGAGTACCTCAAATATTGCGAACAGCAGTTTTGAACCATTCCAAATGGAGAGTGAATTAGGATTGATTTTTAATGAGGTTTTAAAAAATAATATTAGGATTTTTTTAAAAAAAGAAATGAATGTAAGAGATTTAATCAGAAATTACATATGTATTTTAATATAATGTTAATTTGATGTATTGTCGAAGGCTTACATGGCTGGAATCACTGGGTTGTTGTAGGTTTTTTTGGGCTATATGGCCATGTTCTAGAAGCATTCTCTCCTGACGTTTCACCTGCATCTATGGCATCTTCAGAGGTAGTGAGACCTCACTACCTCTGAGGATGCTTGCCATAGATGCAGGCGAAACGTCAGGAGAGAATGCCTCTAGAACATGGCCATATAGCCCGAAAAAACCTACAACAACCCAATGTTAATTTGATTTTTAAAAATGTTTACATAAGTCTTTGAAGCAAAGGGCAAGTTTTTTTTCACAAATATATAGGCACAGAGAATACAGTTTGTATTTCATGATCGCTCACTTACGAGATCAGTTAGGTCTTGAGCATTACAATGCACTGAAACTCTTGAGTGTGTGGTGACTGGTTGCTCCAATGTCAGTGGAGCAGAAAATCCACTACTGATTTTCATCCAGGCTTTGAAGACCTATCCAATGGCCTGAAATCGATCTTCAAAATAGGTTGAGCACATTGGACAGCTCATTGAAAGCTTGCCAAAACCTAAAATGGATTTGCTACCTCACTAACATGGGAGCCAGGAACTTGTCTCCATGACATGCTCAGGATTATGCTATAAGACTAGCTTTTTTGGGGAAAAAAATAGAGGTCATTTTCTGGTGCTTCTTATAGGCACAATCAGTGCAAAATTAAATACAATAAAATCCCATGAAATCAGTGGGATTCCAAAATGTTTGACAATGGATAGCTCACCGTAAAAGTGCTCACAAAAGCACGGATTATAGTTTTTACAGTTCTTAGATTGGATTGCAATAAAAATAGCATATAGATTTCCTGTATACCTGTTGATCTATTGGGTTGGATCCTCATTTAGTCATAGAGTAGACCAGTGCAAATCCATGTGATTTAGACCTCTTCTAGACTGCATAAAAATCCAGATTATCTGCTTTGAACTGGATTATATGTCAGTGTAGAGTCATATAATCCGGTTCAGAGCAGATAATGTGGATTATCTGAATTGATAATCTGGATTATATGGCAGTGCAGAAGGGGCCTTAAATTAGTCACTCTATTGATTTCAGTAGATTGAGCATGACTTAAAATTGTCTCTTGGCCATTATTTTATTATAACCCTTGGTGCTGACATCAGTATGCTTTTCTGAGATTTTTTTCCCATATATTTTCCATACATACTTTATCAGTACAAGTGATACAACCTTTTGTGGATTTATTACATAGGGATTTAAGATTGGTCAAATATTTAGTCTAGTTACTAGTCTCAGTTCTGATCCTGAATCCGGTGCTTCAGTAGAGTGTGGAAATGCCTTGATTCAGTAATACAAACCAAGATGGAAATTATTGATTTTTGTCAAATAATTATTTGAGTGGGGGAGGGGGAATCCCATGATTTATTTTACTGGCTTCATTTATGTACAACTTGCTAAACCTGTTTCCTTTTTTTTTTAAAACCAGTGTGATGGTGCTTTGAGATTTTTTGTTTATGTCTGCATATTTTATAGCTAGGTGAGGTGCTGTTTACAACAAAGTTGCATCTATTTTGGAAAATGTATGCATCTACTTGAAATAAATGATTGGATTAGATTTATGCATGTGTCGTGTGAATCAGATCACCTTGGATCCAAAATCAAACAATTAAAATGTGGGATTAATTAAATTGTTGTTTCAGCATTGATTCACAATGGTTTGGATGATGAGCAGCCCAGCGCTTTTAATTTAATTTTTTTTGCTAAAATCAGCTGTAACATTATAATAACCAACAAAGGGGGGAAGACACTGGGAGCTTTCCAGGGTGCATTCTCTCCTGACGTTTCATCCACATCTATGGCAGGCATCCTCAGAGGTTGTGAGTTCTGTTGGAAACTTTGTAAGTGAGGTTTATATATCTGTGGAAAGTCCAGGGTGGGAGAAAGAACTCTTGTCTGCTTGGAGCAAGTGTGAATATTTCATTGATTAGCATTGATTAGCATTGAATGGCCTTGCAGCTTCAAAGCCTCAAACCCATCAGGTTCAAACCCATCAGGTTCAACAATTTCAACAGAAAGGAGAAAACCATGAAAATGAACAAAATCTGGCTACCAGTATTTTAAAAACCCTCTAAATCAGGACAGTAAATAAAGAACACTACAGGAAAAATCAGGACCAGCTAACACCTCCCAACAAAGGATTCCCCCAGACAGGAAGCAGCCAGGCTTTGGAGCTGTAAGACTATTCAATGCTAATCAAGGTGACCAATTGTGACATTCACACTTGCCTCAAGCAGACAAGAGTACTTTCTCCCACCCTGGACATTTCACTGCTATATAAACCTCACTTGCCTAGTTTCCAACAGACCACACAAGCTCTGAGGATGCCTGCCATAGATGTGGGTGAAACGTCAGGAGAGAATGCTTCTGGAAAATGGCCATACAACCAGGAAAATTCATAGCAACCTAGGATAGCATTGTTTTAAAGATTTGCAATCCCTGAAGCTTCACAGAAGAATGAACAATTCTCCATTAAAACAAAGCACAACCCTCACATTATATTGTTTTGAAGTGAAAGAGATATTTTTTGTTAATCGCAGTGAAAAATGGCAGATGTGTTTACTGCTCTTGCCAAATTTGGAGTAGATAAGAATTTGTTCTCGCCCCATTTGCCAAATTTGCCTATACCAATAACCTCATCACACTAGAGAAAAAAAAATCACTTAAATACAGTTTCTGCCTCCTGCAAAATTCTGAGGTTTGTAGTTTAGGGAGGAGCCTTTAACAGCCTCACTAAACTACAAACCCCAGAATTCTGCAGAAGACAGAAACCAGATTTTAAGTGGACTTTTTCCTCTAGTGTGAGTTGCTTAGCCATCCATGGAAATAGACCTCAGCTACATAGAAAAAAATGGTTTATTACACCTGTAATTCCAATTAGTATATACCTGAGCTCTACAGAAAACAATATATTTCTTGTAACAGACTGCAAAATGAAAAGACATTTAACAAACATTTCAATAACACAAATAACTTGCTCAAATTATAGTAGAATGGGTACTGTTCTATAATCCAGGTAGAGGCCACTAGGGGGTGCAATTTCCCCCTGTAAAATGGACTACACAGAGAAGCCATTGAAATCCACAAGCATGTGGACAATTAAAACAGAAAGGAGGAGACCTTGAAAATGAACAAAATCTGGCTGCCAGTATTAAAAAACTCTAAAATTACAACAGCAAAACAGCAGAGAGGAAAAAACCAGGCACATCTTAACACCTCTCAACAAAAGATTCCCCCAGGCTCAGCCAGGCTTCAAATGCTAATGAAGGTGGTCAGTTAAAACATTCACACCCAGCTCTAGCAGAGAAGAGCTCTTTGCCCCACCCCAGTCATTCCACAGATATATAAACCCGTTTTCCTACTTCCAACAGACCTCACTACCTCTGAGGATGCTTGCCATAGATGCAGGCGAAACGTCAGGAGAAAATGCCTCTAGAACATGGCCATATAGCCCGAAAAAACCCACAAGAACCTAATGTAATGTTTGTTTGTGGGATTAACATAACTCAAAAACCACTGGACGGATTGACACCAAATTTGGACACAATACACAGATCAGGCCAACGAATGACCGTCACTCATAAAAACACCGAAAAACACAGCAGAAGAGGCTTAAAAAGCCAAAAAT